TGCTGTTGGCTACATCTGGCTTTTTACCTGGCATTTTGTGTGGGTGCTGAGAACCCAAACTCAGGTCCTCATGTTTATGGAGAAAGTGCTTCCATCCACTGAGCCATCTCCCTGGTCCCATCCTCACTAATTATATACTGGGACAAAGCATTCTTCTTTCTTTTAATGATTTGTTAAAAGTCCCCTACCCCTACTCAGTGCTAGAGACTGAATGAAGGGCTTCCTGCATGCTAGGCAAGCATTCTACCACTGACCTACAGTCTCAATGCCTGAAAAGGTTTTAAGTACAAAGGTACTAATTCATCTTTCTCATACATACTGCATATATATGGTATTTTAAATTTGATAAGGTTTTAATTTGGAGGTAGTACTTTTTTTTTTTTTTTACTTTGTTTTCATCTCTTGTATAGTCTTTGGAAGTTCTTATCTATTCTAAGATCAGACTATATTTACTCATTTTCTTCTATGTCATTTAAGGATTTGTTTTTGACAGCATAGCTTGTACACAACTTTACTATTTTCCTACAAATAATTACTTTTCTAACATTTAGAAACGGAAAATAAAAGATAATAATGAGACTATGGCTTTCTACACCCTTCAGTCTGTAACTATATAGGAATACTATCTTTCCTAAAACTGGATAACAAAGGATTAGTAGCATACTTGCTTTATGCTTTCCTACATGATTCAGTACATTTTAAAGAAAGATCTCTAATAAAAATGAGAAATGCCTTCTAGCCAGATCAGTATTTTATAATTTATATCAAAACAAATCTGGGTTGGTTGTGGTAGAGCATACTAGGAGTTCCAGTTATGTGACTTGAGGACTGGCGCTAGAAGACTCCAAGTTCAAAGCCAGCACTAGTAACTCAGTGAGACCTTGATTCAGTATGAAAATAAAAAAGGGGCTAGGTTATGCAGCTACATGTTACCAATTTTGTCTATCATATACAAAGCCCTGGGTTCAATCTCTATCCAGTATGGAGGTGGGAGGGAAAGGGAGAAATCTCCTCAAACTATCTTCATCTGAAGTCAGAATTCTTTCCACACAAATTTCCCACTTTTGGAGCCCTGGCTGATCTGGTACTCACTATGTAAGTAGACTAGGCTAACCTTGAACTCAAGTATAGTCAAAGCTCTCAGAAGAAGGTCTGGCATATATAACCACTTTAAAATGTTGTCGTAAGTAACATTAAGAGTTAAGATGAATCTATTAAACACTTTAGTTTACAACTACAGAAAAAGAGAACTGCAAAGAGAGTTAATCAGAACCTAGATCACAGATGCCATGGGAAATACGTGATGGGGCACTTGTTAACAAAAAGACATGGAGGAAAAAAAGCCTAGGTGAGTAGGTACAGTTGTTTTAGATAGCATATAACATACACGTTAACAAAGCCAAACCATTGTCTTCAGAAAGATATGATGTAAATTTGGTCAGCTAAAGCTAGACTGAGTACAGCTAAGACATAAATGAACATAAGTGAAGAGCAAGATAGTAAACCACTCATTGATATACTCCACAAATTCTGTCCGCATGCGTGTGTGTGTGTGTGTGTGTGTGTATGTGTGTGTGTGTGTATGTGTGTGTGTGTGTGAGAGAGAGAGAGAGAGAGTTTTATAAGGGGAGAGGGGAGGTAATCTTTTAACAGTTCTACACATTTGCACACAGGTATGTTATGAATTAGCAGAATGTTAGGGGCCATCCACTTGGAAGCTAGACTTTCTTCTAGAACACTGTTGCCCAACATAACCAATGTGATAGTCTTCTACACAGACAACACTGAGACAAGCTGCTATACCGTAGTCTGGCCAAGAGGACATGTTATATAAGGAAATACCCGTGGGGAAAGAAGTCCACTATTCTAGAATAAGCTAAGCCTACCAATTTAGGTATCTCTAACTGCCTAATGGCTTTCCTTTACTGAACTGAAAATATATTTCTCTGATTGGTTTGTGTTCTAACATACATCTTCCAAGGTAAGGTTCTTTAAATATTTAAGAGCAATAATGCTAAATAATTTCTTCAGAAGACAAAATACTCTTAGTTCTTCCATGTTCTACATGTCTAATACTTTTTTAAAAAAATTATTTATTTTATGTGTGAGTGTTTTGCCTGTATATAAGTGTACACCAACTTGTGCAATGGCCATGGAAGTCAGAAGAGGGAATCACATCCTCTGGAACTGGAGTTAAGGATGGTTGTTAGCCCCCATGTGGGTGCTGGGAATGGGACCTAGATCTTCTACAAGAGCAGCCAGTGCTCTTAACCACTGAACCATCTCTTGAGCCCCATACATAATACTTTCTAATAATCCACTGCTACCTCAGTTTTTATCTTTTCTCCTCAACTTATCAATCTATGTACGTGACTCTTGAAATGGAACATTCAAAATTAAATGAAAGCTATAGGCTGATTCTTGGAAGATAATCATGGAAGACCCACAATTTCAAGTTAAGGAAGCATTGGAAACCTACATCTTAAAATAATGGAGTGATTTTGAAGACAAAATCCAAATGGTATTTTCTCTCTGTCTCTCTTTTTGAGATGGGATCTTACTAGTAGCCCTGGCTGGCCTCAAACTCACAGAGATTTACCTGCTTCTGTCTTCAGAGTACTGGGATTAAAGATGTGCATCACCATGCCAAATGCTATTTTATTATTATTAATATTATTTTGGTCTTTTTGAGACAGGGCTTCCCTATAGCTCCAACAGGCTTGGAACTCACAGCTGGTTTCGATCTCACAGAGATCCTCCTGCCTCTGCCTCCCTAGTGCTGGGTTTAAAGGTATGCACCACCACCTCAGCTGCATTTACTACTCCTGCAGAGGGATTGGGTTCAGTTCCTAGCACCAACATAGTAGCTAGCAACTGTCCCTAACTCTAGTTCCATGGGGTCTGATGCCCTCTCTGGCTTCCATGGGCACTGCATGCATGAAGAGCATTTACATACATGGAGGCAAAACACTCATACACATAGATACAAATATATAAAATTGTTTAAGTACTATTTTTTAAATATTTTATTATTTTTTATGTGTATGGGTGCACTGCCTGCATGTAAGTGTACCTGTGTCATGGAGTGACCGAAGAGGTCAGATCTCTTGGAAATGGAGTCATGGACAGTTGTTAGCTGCCATGTGGTGTTAGGAATCGAACCCTGGTCCTCTGCAAGAGCAGTCAGTGCTCTTAACTACTGAGCCATTTCTCCAGCCCCATTAAACACTATTTTTTAACTGATTTTGTGTGTGTGTGTTTTTCATATAGAACATCCCAAACAATCTTATTCATCTTTATACCACATCCCAAATGGCACCCTCCCATAGCCTCCCTCCCCTCCCCTCCCCCCACTGGAACACTATTTTTTAAAAAGTGATGAAATCAAAGGTCAATGTTCTTTCAAATAGATTAAGAATGCTGATTTTAAATAAGTTTCATTATCAATGGGCATAATAAGAGAATGTTATGGCTTTGAAAATATGCCACATTTGGTATGAAAGTGCTCCATAAATTAACTCTTTATGTTATCACAAATAGGGAAATCATGAACTTATATGAAAAGGACTGCTGCTGTAGCGTCAGATTTAAACAAGCTGTTTACCTTTCTAGATGCCCCCTACCTCATTTTTAAAGCCAATGTCTTAAAATGTATCCCAGGTACATTAACTTCAAACTTATAGGTGATCCTCCTGCCTTAGCCTCCTCTACATGGGGACAGCATTCTGGAATGGTTATAAATAAGAAAGAAAACAATGCCTTTTGTATTCTACAAGATCACTTCAAAGATCAAGTGAGAGAATGTGAAGGAATTAAGCAGAACACAATACATATATATACATACATACATACATACATGGAAGCCTGTCAGAAGCTGAAGACCACTGTCTATTATAAGTTTGGATATGACCCCCAAATCCATTTGTTAGAAACTTGGTCTGCAGTGAAGCAATATTGAAAAGTTGGACCTTTAGGAGGTAACTGATTTATTTCATGGATTATCCTGAGGATAGCTTTCTTATAAAGAGCAAGCTCTCTCTGGTAAGCTTACTGTATCTTAACATAAGAAACCCTCTGCCATGTTATGGTGCAAAAAGGCCCATACTGGATGTTGGTGCCATGCTCTTTGACTTCCCAGCCTCCAGTACCAGAAACTAAATAAAACTGCATTTTTTTTAGGAAGCTACCCATTCTGAGGTACTGAGTATGAGCAACAGAAGATACGTGAATTAATATTCATTAAGAGCTGTAAGGCATTAATAATAGAAATTTAGTTTTCAGATATTTTACGTAAGGCACACAAAATGGCCTTCAATGTCTCTCATTTCTTTTGAGATTCTTTTTTGTCATTTTATTTTTGTTTTATTGTGTTTGTTTTGAGACAGAGTTTTCCCGCAGCCCCAGCTGGCCTGGAATTTGCTACACAGACTAGGCTGGCCTCTATCTCAAAGAGATTCACTTGTCTCTGCCTCCCAAGTGCTTGGATGAAAGGCACGCATCACCATACCCAGCCTGTTTAAGATTCTTAAAGATCCATTGAATGCTATAGTGCCCAGTAAGCCAAGAAATGGTTATTCAGTGTCAAAGTACTTAAACGACTTTAATATAGCCATATGAAATGGCTTCACAATGTTTTTGTGTATCAAGATCATTCTTGACCTTCTTCCATACCCCTAACTACCTCAACTCCAAGGAATGCTCATTTCACTCAGCATTTGAATTGAAAGCTGACCCGTACTGCTCCTAAGTCAAAAACATTGTTTCAAATTTCTAGATGTAAACTAACGCTGAAACTAATTTCATTTCTGTTTCAAGTCATCTAACATAAAGAAGTTTGCAAAATAAAGGGCAGTGCATGCATGCCACACATATGAAGGTTTGTGTGTAATGTTAATGCTCTTCCAGATCATTAATTAGCCCACATGCTTACTAAAGATGAAAATACTCATTATATGCAAAAATATAATAAAACAAACCCTTTTTGTACCACATTTTAATACCTTGGTTTGTTTGGAGCAAGCTGTCGACTGGGCCGACGGATAGACTGGTTTTGCTGTATCTTCATTGAGGTTCTGGGAGATGACCGTGCAAAAGGATCTGGTGCTGGAGGCTTTTTAGGTATCTTTTTCACTAACCGACTAACCCATTTCTGCTGTTCTTCTGTAGAATTTGCCAATAACAACAGATTCTTTGCCGATGAAATATCATAATAAACTATAAAAAGAAATATTTGAAATGAATAAATGTGCCTAAGATGATCTGAACAAATTATAACACAGCAAAGAGTTCCCTATTTACCTTTGCAAGGTGCTATAATCTCCTCCTTTTTGTCCATGTGATCTTTATGGCATTTAATATGGCATCGACGGCACTCTAGAGCAGGAGGGGGTTTAAACATGTGCCACAATGGCTTCATACAAGCCTCACAGTTGGTTGGGAAGTGATAAAGAGTAGGGATAAATTCATGTCCTTTGTGGCAAATGTAATTAGACTTTTCTCCCACTGGCTCCACTGGAAATTCTGGTTCCTTCTTACTTTCTCCTTCATTGGCATATAGAATCTATAAATAACAGAGAGAACAAATGAGTGATTTCAACACATTATGTGATTTTTATCCAACAATTCTGACAAATTGCTTGATGAGAATAAAATGCATTTGAGATGCAACCTAAGAAGGTTTGCCTGAAGAAGAGTTAATGTAAGCTAAGAATGTGTCTCAGTGGTAGCATGCTTACCTAGAATGCACAAAACCTCAAGTTTCATTCTCTACTACAGGGGGAAAGAACTTAGGTGAGAGGGAACACAGTCACTCTGCTTCAAATTTCAGAAGAACTGATTCTGTTCAAATGTGGCCTCATTTTCACTTTAGTATCTATGCTAAATCATCAAAACAGGCTGGCAAAAGGACACATTCACACTTCATTAGGTGGGTTGCCCCTAGCCCCTGCCTCCTCTCGGAAGGACATTTAGGGCTTGGAGTGTAGTTCATTGGTAGGTCAAAGCCCTAGGTTCAGTTTTCAGCACCATTTCCCATCTAAACAAACAATAGATCAATCACCTAAAGAAATACAGCAACTATATTAATTGTTCATACTTATGGATAATAGAAAAGTGGGTGATTACTATATGCACATCTTCATTTTAAAAGATGTATACGGAGACTTGAGGGTTAAAATGAATAGAAAAAAAAAAGATACACAATATCCCCAAATAAAACGTACAAAGCACTAAGATAAGAGGACAACTTTCCCACAATGTATCAAGTACAGTAATTTTTATATAGAAAGAACTAGGTCATGAAAGAACACTGTGAGCACCACAGAGCCCCTTGTTTTCTTTCCTAGGGCCAAAGAAGCCAAGTGAAAAATAATGCATACAATATAGGTCCACTTACATGAATTAAGTTGTGACAGCACTTAGTTTTGGGAAGGGGAAAGTGGTTTGAGTAATTTTTTAAAGGGGTGTGTGTGTGTGTGTGTGTGTGTGTGTGTGTGTGTGTGTGTATAGACACCATGGAGCACAAAGTGACCATGGAGACCAGAAAGGGGTGCTGGATCCCTTGAAACTGGATTTATAATCAACTGAGCCACCAGATAATGGGTGTTGGGATCCAAACTCTGGACCTCTGATAGACAAGTGCTCTTAACCTCTGAGCCATCTTTCCAGGCCACAAGGTTTGAATAATTTTAAAATGGAAGCAGTAGAGGGGAGAATTTGGCTTTACTTTAAGAAATAAAAGGGCTACCAAGTATGTCATTCAACTTTATAAATTATTTTTTTCTTTTTTTTGGTCTTTTTGATCCAGGGTCTCCATATAGCCCCAGATGGCCTGGAACTCACTATGTAAACCAGGCTGGCCTTGAACTCACAGAGATCTGCCTGCCTCTGCCTCCCAAGTGCTGGGACTGAACTATAGGTGTGTGCCACCATGCCCAGCTTATAAGTGATTTTTTAAAACTTTCTAGAGGGCTGAGAATAAAACCAAAACAGGAGTAAGTTCATGCTTTTAAAAAAATAATCATAACCAACCTGGTGAAAAGGGACAATAAGGATCAGAAACAAAATATAAATATGCTCCAAGCTTCAACAAGCTAAATCATGAAGAGGAATGAACATGTCTTCAAACAGAGTGAGCACACTATAGAAAATCAACCATCTTTAAATGTGACTGAACAGAAAGGAAATTAGAGAAAGACCAATGAGGAAAGGAGCCAAACCTGTCATGTCACAGGAGAACCTCCAAGGGCGGGAAAAAACAAACCAACCAACAAACAAACAAACAAAACACAAAACAACCAAATCTATGTTTACCTGGAATATCCTTGGAATTTCCTTAGCATCTGCTCTGTATACATCTGTCTGTGTAACTGGTCGGACATGAAACAGCTTGCTAGAAAATATTTTTAAATGAAGGAACAAAATATTAATCAAGGATTATATTGCATTGATTATCCTATACTTACAACCATTTTGACCCACTTAAAAAGCTCAGAGTTTTCTATTATTTCAATCATTAAGATTTTCAGAAATTTCTAAGTTTAATTTTCTTCAGAAAACAATGTATTAAAGGTCTATGAAATGAAGCTGTTTTAAATATTTTATTTTTTCAGTTTTCAACTGCATGAAGGACATTAAAAGAAAATGTTATACTGGTATAGTAGGAGTTACACTATGATTATCAATGGAAAATCATGCTACTTTCAAATTAGACTTTAAAATAAGAGTCTCTAAATAAAAGTCTCTAGTAAAAGCACTTACTCTATGTCTAAAACCATATAAGGATTTGATTGTTCTTTATCTTGTTCACTGTCATAGAAAAGAATCTTCTTACTGCTTACAATCACATACTGTTAACAAAAGAAAGGAATTAACAAATTACTATGCCCATATTTATTTTCTTTTACAAGAAATTCTATATTTGTGATAAAGTCAAATAATACTAAACTCAATAAAAAGTGCTAGTATAGCTTTAGGAAAGTGTTCCGTAGAATAATATGTTCATTTATAGATTTTTATTTATTCTTCTGTTTGTAGATAGTTTAGATAAGCAAATGAGAGGACACAAATGAAATCAAGTATATTTTAAGCTTTGGGATCTAACATTAACAACTTCATATAAAATGGACATAATAACATTAATAATCATACTAGCAGAAGAAATAAACAGGTCTTTCTATCACACCCAAAGCTGTAAAAGCTGTTTTCCTACCAGGATAACAAAAACTTCAAGGTCAACATGTTTCTGTTTACTGACATCAAAATTCATTTTGTTAATAACCCATGTAGGGCAAAAGATTATTTTACATAGATAAAATCAAAAAGCATGAACACGATTTGTATGTCAAAAAATTTAGGCATGGACATCCTACTGGTGCCAAAGTAAAATGGCTGGAGTTAAACCAGGAGTTAAAAAAGAACTATATTCAAAAGTATCAATTACCTTTTTAACCCATCCAAACTTTTTAGTGTTGTTTCTCACAGGCAGTGATAACCATCCTTCTAATCTTGATTCTATAAATAAATAAAAAATATGAAGATAAATGTAATGATTCTCCTTTGACAATGAGAAATTTAATAAAATTTTAATGTGGAAGTCATAAACCAACCAAATATATATACCGTTTAGAATCATATTGTTTATTATTTAGGATACTATAATTATGCAAGGTCAGTAGAAACAAGTTATACAATGCAAAACAAAATACAGATTATATCACATTGGAAATAATACTCTAAATTATAATGTCATATACCCCATTGATGAAATTCATGCACTGGCAAAATTCAGGAAAAAAGCTGCACAAGACCAAACAGGCTATTTTCACTGGCATATCTACATTAAATCTTTTATTTTTCCTTTAGAAGAAGAACTGCTTACAGGTATAATGTACATTGTTAAGTAGATAGTATGAATAATATGGAATTTTAGAATAGCTATGCTAAAATGAAATAAAATTGTATAAAATATGGGTCAAACTCCTTTAACAACCAACAACAGAACCAAAAGATTTCTAAAATGTCACATATCAAATATCAAAATTAGTAAAATTTTAATTCTACAAAGGAAACTAGCTTAAGTCCTTGGACTTTTTCTAATACTTTTGATCAGTATTTTAAAATAAAACTAGCAAGTGAAATGGCATGTTTGGTTATTGTAATAATATCAGTAGTTATTCATTATTTAACATCTACGATGCACGGTACAAATGCTTTACATAAATTCTCTATAGTCCTCACAGTTCCATACAATAGGAATTACATTCCTAATTTAGCTGAGGAAACTGAAATCTAGAGAGATCACAGTAATAACCTCTTTGAGCTTTAAAGAAGCTCTTGGGTTTCTTCACTTCACCTTTTAGGGTAAGCACCAGGGCAAATTGCTTTACCTGCTCTTTTAAGGCCTAGCACACAGTGAACCAGCTATAAACTCAATAAAAACCTAAACACATTCTCTGGAACAGTCTATGTGGGTTTTTTTTCCCCCTATATTGCCACTCTTGATGTGAAACTACAGAAAGAAGTTGTCAGAAAACAGATGAAACTCATGCATTTTTAAGAGTACAGAAGATACTGCACCATTTCTTTAAAGCTGGCAAAATCTAGTGATCTAGCAATTACAATAATAATGCCATTTGAAAATACCTTAAAAGAAAATCTTGGTTCATGCAGTTTATTTTTTACTGTGCCGATACAACACGTCAGAGTTAGTGAATATTAGTTAGTGTTATAAAATTATTTTTCAAAAGGACAAAATAAAGAGTAGGGAAAATTCCAAAGAGGAAAAGATTTTCAGGATATCACCTGTACCATTAGACTCCGATGAAATGGGTAAGTAAGACAAAGATTCTTCTTCTGAGTCAGAGTCAGAGTCAAGGAGCATGTGAGAACTGCAAGGCTTAGTGGCAATACTGAGAGAAGTGGAGGAACGCTGGTAGGTGAAGGACAGGGACTCCGTAGTGTGTGACTGAGTTATATGAACTAAACACCCACGGGGGAGAAACCAAGAATGCAGAAAGAAGAGAAAATAAAAGGAAAGCTTAAAAAGAGAGCTACTATATGAGGTAAATATCTAAACACATGGAGTTTCATCCACGTTTATTTTTAATGAAAAACAGACTTAACGAGGACAGGAAAAACCTCCTCACTCATGTTAAGAAAACACAAATAAACACTGAATAAAATAATGGAGACAATTCAATATGTTTCAGTGAACTGAATAAAAGGGACAGAAATAAAATACAATATATAAATGTGTTCAAAATGCTAGAATTCCCACTCCAAGTCGAAATAGGTTTCCCCCTATAGAAATGACAAACATTTTCCCTAAAGAGCAAAGTTAGCCACAGGGCTTAAAACAATTACCTGACATGTTTAAGAGAAATATAAGGGCTGGAGAATGTGTACCTGGAAATCCATCGTCTGGCTCAGCATCCCCAGGTCCACTGCCTATACTAGAACTATCCAAACCAACGTGCAAGGCCTGGAGCTGTGACCGGAGCTGCTCAATGTCACTGTCCTTACTGTCCAGTGTCATCTGGAGCTCAATTCGAATTTGGCTCTCTTCAGCTATTTGCTGCAAGAAATTAAATTAATTGGATGAAATGTACCTTGTAATTTTATATCCTGGTTCAATGATAATTACTAATATAAATGTTCTTCAACCAGTCAAATACACATAAACAAGGAAATAATTCTGGTTTTAAAAAAGTTTCAATTTAGAGTCCAAAGAGTATTCTTACGGCCTGCATTTCATTCAGCTCCTTTTGATACTTGATCATCTGCTGCGTCAGTTTTTCACGTTCAGATTTAAGCTCCATATGTAGCTTTCTATTCTCTTTCTCTTTTCTTCGCACATCTGTGTCACTACCACGTTTGACAGGTTCTTTTCGATTCATGATCTCAGCCAACTTATTCACAGCCTTAAAAATGTGAAAAGTATATAAATAAATGTTGAGGTTTTCTCAGGAACTCACCAATTACAAGCTGTAATCACCAATAATTCCATTCCTATACACAGTGTTACAAAGAAATACTTTCAAGGTTGGGAGATGGCACAGCCAATAAAATGTCTGCTGGACAAGTGCAGGGATCAGAGTTCAGATGCCTAGCACCCATGTAGAAAGCTGGGCATGGTGGTGCATGCCTCTAATCTCAGTGCTGGGGTGGTAGGGATAGACTCCTTGAAGTCTGCTGGTCAGTTAATCTTCCTCTAGATTCAGCAAGTGATTTTTGTCTCAAAAAATAAGGTAGAGAGAGGCTAGAGAGATGGTATAGTGTTTAAAAGCACTTGTTGCACTTCCAGAGAACCTGAGTTTGGTTCCCAGTACCTAAGTGGAGCAGCTCACAATCTCCTACCAACTCCAGATCTGGGGGATTTGACACTCTCTTCTGGTCTCTATGGATACCTGTACATAGGTGGTATATACTCACACAGACAAACACACACATATAAGTAAAAAATAAAACTTAAAAAAAAAAAAAAAAGGCAGTAAGCAATGCTGCAACATTGGAAGATATCCAGCACTGACCTCTGGCCTTCACATATACATATGTGAACATGCATTGCTACGTCGTACATGTATTCAACCATGCGTACATGAACACATAGCACACACTTTTTTCCTTACTTTAAATAATATACTTCCTTCATTACTATCCATTCTATATTCTAAATAGGTTTTCATTCTCATGATTTCTGAGAATGATAATTTAAAATATTTACAGGGGCTGAGGGCATAGCTCAGGTAGAGTGCTTGTCTAGCACGTTCAACGCCCTGGGTGTGATCCTCACTGCCACACAGACACCAATTACAGGCTTGATTTGATTCAACTTTATTCTAAAAGCGACTTTTTAATAGACATATGTTCCTTCTTTTATTCAGGAGGAAGTGAATTCTGCATTGGCATTAAAATGCACCTTATCCAATAATAGAGAATGGCATTGGCATCCATGCATTTGTGTGGGAGCTGGAAGAGGGTGCCAATAACCACATGTGCCTTTTCAGACCATCTGACTCTTTTCAGGTTGTGAACAAATGGTCATTCTCTATAGTTCCTTAAAATTCGAAAAACTAGGAGGAGATGTGGAAAGATGTCACACAGCAGGAATAAACTAATGCTAATCAAATGTTTCTCTTAAGTTGACCAAAAAAAAAAAAAAATCAAGAAACAGTTCAACCACTGATATTGCAATGAGCACTGCCTCCAACTGGTAATGCTAGAAGTGATACATAACAGATAATGAAAACAAGATTGGAAATTGTATTTCGATTCTAATGACATACTTGAGTCTTGAGTGTTCTCTCCGTCAACAGCTGCTTCTCAAACTGTGCTTTAATAGCTGCTGCATTTATTTCCTCATCTTTCAACTTCGACAGTTCTGAAATAAATGGAAACGTAAAATTACATTAATAACGAAAGATACTAGGTATATTAAAATTAAACTTTACTTCTTGTTGATACATACGCTCTTGAGCATCCTTTAATTTGTTGTTTAATTCTTCTTTCTCATTTGCAAGATTCGCAACATCACTAGTTAGTGTCCTATTTGTTTCTTCAAGCTAAGATATAGAAGTGGGGGATAAAAAACACTTCAATTTATAAAATTTTAGCTGCAAAACAGTTAATGAAAATTCTACTTTACATGTATCCTAGAATGTCAAACATCTGCCCTTCTCTCACACGTTATCAATTAAAAAAACAAAAACAAGAAAACCACTTAAAAGCCTGTGAAAAGGAAATACAAAGCATTGCATTGTCATCGTGCAGAATAAAAAAATTAAAAACGGAAGTATTCCTTTCAGAATGTTAAGACGGAAAATGAATTTTATTGAAATTCATGTCCTTTTTCCATATTCCTTCCCAACTTTTCCCTAATCTTCCTTTTCTGAAATTTTACTATGAAGTATGTGTTCAACTTTGCCACCCAATACTGTGTATTTCCATTACATATACATGAAATAATATGTGGTTTTACATGGTTTTTAAATGACTATACATTAAAGAATTAAACTTGCTGGACTGTTGGCTAGCTGGGCATGATGGTGTTTGTTTGTAATCCCAGCATTTGGGAGGCTGAGGCATTAGGAGGACTGTAAATTCTGGGCCATCTTGAGTGCAAACCAAAAAGAACAATAATTACCACCTTGCTAATACATATGATTAATATAATATAAATGGATTTAGTTCATTTAACTTCACCTTCTATTTAGTTCCATTTTCTACCACACTTAATGTACCTATACTTTGTTTTCTGAGACAAGGTCTTATGTATCTCATGCTGGTCTTGAACTAATTAAGTAGCCAAGGGTGGTCTGATCTTCCTGCCTCCACTTCCCAAGTGTTGGGATTATAGGCATGCACTACCACACCTGATTTATTTAACATATCCATTTATCTATCGAGAATTTGAGGTTTTGCTATTTACAAACATTTATGTTCCTTTAAGTATTTTATTATGTTTATTTTATGTGTGTGAGTGTATTGCCCGCATGCCTGCATGTATGTGAGTGCACCCATGTCGTGCAATGCTGCAGAGATCAGAAGAGGGCTTTGGATTCCCCTGGAACTGGAGTTAAGGATGGTTTGTAGCTGCCATGTGGGTGCTGGGAATCGAACCTAAGTCCTCTGCAAGAGCAGTCAGCACTCTTAACTGCTGAGCCATCTCTCCAGTCCCCGACATTTATGTTTCTATAAGCACTGTGTCTAGTTTGTTTAGCATTATTTGTCTTTTTTTGAATTAAAAAAAATTTTACTTTATGAGTGTTTTGCCTGCACGTACGTAAGTACACCCATGCAATGTTCACAGAGGCCAGAAGTGGCACTGGATTCTCTGGAACTGAATCTGGGTCCTCTGCAAGAGCAGCCTGGGGACTTAACTGCTGAGCCATCTCTCCAGCCCCTGGCATATTTACCTTAACCTGGTGGACTTTCTTTGGGTGGTATTATGTACTTAAAATTTACTACAAACTGTCATTCTATTGACTATACTACACTTGCCATATTGAATTTAAGACTCCGCAGTTGTAAAGAAAATTCCACTTTCCAGATATTTCCCAAACACTTAAAATTTTCAGATTCTGATTTTCAGTTGTTGAAAAGAATGAAATGGTATTTCAAGGCTGTTTTTATCTGCCCTTTTGCTAAAGAACAGTGAGACAAAACATCTGTTAATGTATTTGAGTTTTCTCTTTTGGTCAATTTTTCTTCTGAATTGTTTAGCCTATTCTTATTGATCTGTAGGAGTTCTAAGTGTATTCTAGATACTAATCTTCTGTTTAACAATACATCACAAATATCTTTCCTATTGCTTGTTTAGGTTGTCCTCTGTCATAGACTTAGATTTTGTTGAGCAGCTTAAAGTTTTTATTTTTCATATTTGATCCTTAATATAGGCACAATTTATTTTAGTGTTTGGTATAGTAAAGGTCTAAACTTTATTCTTTAAAAATTTTTCTATTTATTTCTATTTTATGTGTAGCAGTGTTTTGGTTGCATGTTAAGTGCACATGCATGCAATGCCCACAGAGGCCAGAAGAAGGCAGCAGATTTCCCTGGAACTGAAGTTGAGAGATGTGTTGTTAGCATGTGGTGCTAGGAACTGAATCCTGGTCTTCTGCAAGAGCTGCTTGTGCTTTTAACTGCTGAGACTCCCTTCCAGTCCTTAACTTTATTCTTTTTCACATAAAAATTTAGTTATTCCAAAACTATTTATTAAACCTGTATCCTTTCCCACTGGTTTGCATATTACTGTTTCCACCAAAGTCTTCTACATGATCTACTCCTGGCCTACCTGTTCAAATACCGTACCTTACTGTAGCATTTCAGTAGGTCTGCATAACGGACAGGGTTAAACCTGACTACGTTGTATTTTACTTTTCTTTGAAATGTTTAGACTCTGTTAAACACTGAGAACGTTTATCTGGATTAAAAATCTGGTAGTCAGCAAAGTCAATTTTTAATTTACATCTTTGACACAGTTCCCAGGTATTTCTAAAGATTTTATGACACAGCAGTTTGATTATAATCCAAAAAGCACCAAGAATTTTACTTACAGATCCAATTGTAGCATCTTTTTCAGTAAGTTCTTGTTTGTGTCTAGCCATCATCTCTTTGATCTCTAGCTCTTTCATGATTTTCTCTTTTTCCAAATCAGAGTATTGTTCCTCAGCAATTGAACGAGCCAGCTGCTCAGAATCTGCTTTGGTCAAGGTGATTTCTAGCTGGGCAGCCAAAGAGTCTCTGTATTTCAGAGATGAATCATATATCATAATTATTTTTCCAGCTTTATGGTAATGGGAAATGAATCTAGGGCCTAATGTATTATAAGGACACAGTCTATCACTGAGCAAAATCCCCAGATCTCTTAGAGATATCATTTTAATGATCAATTTTCATTATGAAGTCAGTTTTTGTGTACCTGACTTCACCAGATTCTTTATCTGGTGAGTAACAGGGACTATTCTAGGTACAGGGAATATGAACAAGGGATAAGAGTCCTGCCCTTACCTTTCATCCTGTAATTCTTGTTTTTTCTGTTGTAATTCTTTACAAAGTTTAGTCTTTTCTTCACTTTCTTCTTTAAGTTCTCTAACTTGTGTTTTATAGAGGGTCTAAGGAGCAAAAACACAACAGAAATGAGTATCTGTTATCACCAATAACATTACTTATATATTCAATTTCTAGCCAGACAAAAAATTGAATATATACAAATATTTTCTTAATATTGAGTTAATTTTGGGCACTTGAGGAATTAATAATTTTGTGGGCTTTCACATTTTCTAGTCACCAGTTAATAAATTCAAGTTCAGCAAGCAGCTAAAAGTATAGCTCAATGGTAAATTGTACTCCCTACATCTAGTTCCCACCATACTCCAACCCCCTTTTCATTACAGAATAACTGTCCCTACAATCTAAATAAATGCACAGGTTGATAAGATGAATTAAAAGGCAAGGAAAGACATTACTAATTTATAGAAGAAAAAAAGGCAAACCAATAGAAATACTTTGTTTTTAAATATTTTTTTTTATTACTTTCCATTTTATGTGTATGAGTGTACTGGCTGCACTTAAGTGCACCCATGTTGTGCAATGCCTGTGGAGGTCAGAGAAGGTGTTGGATTCCCCTGGAACTGGAGTTACAGAAGGTTGTCAGCTGCTATATAGGTGCTGGGAATCAAACCCAGGTCTTTTGCAAGAGCAGGCAGTGCTCTTAACCACTGAGTTATATCTCCAACCCCAATACTTTGTATTTTAAAACTGATCTCAAAAAGCACAAATGTCAAAATGACAATTTTTAAATTTCATTCAAAAGCATATTTTAGAGCTGGGCGTGGTGGTGCATGCCTCTAATTCCAGCACTTAAGAGGCTAAGAGGCAGAGAAGCAGGCGGATCTCTGTGAGGTCGAGACCAGAATGGTCTACATAGTGAGTTCCAAGACAGCTGGGGCTTCAGAGAGACCCTGCCCCAAAAAGATTTAAAAAAAAAAAAACATATTTTGTTCCAAAAGGCAATGATGTTAACTAGTTTCACAGGCTGGTAATAGTATGTACTTAGAATTATGTTCCCGGTAACAGTAGTTATTTTGTTGGTGTTTTGTTCTGAGATAGTGTCTCCCTCTTTTGTCTAGACTGGGCTCAACTTCGTGGGCTCAAGTCATCCTCTTACCCATGGTTGCAACTGCAGCCACATGCTACCAAGCAGGTCTAACAGAAAATTTCTCTTAAACACCCCCCACCACCACCTTTATTTGTGGTGCTGGGGGTTGAACTTATGGCCTCACCCATGCTAGGTAAGTAGTCTACCACTGAGCTATATCCCTAGCCTCTGTCTACTTTTTATGAGTCATATAAAAATCTCATTCAAATCATTGCCAATGTTTTAATATTATAACAATCTATTTTAGCCAGGTGTGGTGGTGCACACCTGTAGTCCTAGCACTTGGGAGGCAGAGGCAGGCGGATCTCTTTGAGTTCAAGGCCAGCCTGGTCTACATAGTGAGTTCCAGGTCAGCTGGGGCACAGGGAGACCCTGTCTCAAAAGACCAAAAAAAAAAAACAAAAAAAAATTTATTTTAGAGCTGGATGTGGTGGTACACTACTATAATCCCAGCACTCAGGATGTGGAGGTAGGAAGATAGCAAACTGGTAACCAGTCTGGAATGTACGTGAGACTGTCTCAAAAATCTAAAACCAAAGCAACCAAAACAAAAGGAGTCTAAAGAAAATCATTCTGCTGGTTCTGTGATAAGAATTTTTTAAAAGTCTATAAATAAATTCAAATGCATGTGCCTGGAACTTACCGAGAAATATTGCTCTGCTTCAAGTTGATCTTGCAACTCCTTCATTTGCCCATCTGCATCTTGACGTTCTCTGTGAAGACAGTGAATCCAAGTATTAAGTGATATATTTTAAATCAGCCACTATGCAAGTATGGGAGTTTTGGCCTTTCAAAAAAAGTCCCTGAAATCAAATCATTTTCATGCTAACACTAATCTTATTACTGCCTTTTAAAACTCTCATTGCTGTCAGGCCTGGATAATCCCAGCATTTAGAAAGATGAGGCAGGAGGATCATGAGTTCAAGGCCAGCCTGGAGAATTCCATGAAATAACACCTCAACAAAACAAAGCAACCCCAAACAACTGAAAGCCAGGTATTATGGCTCATAACTGCTATCCCAACACTCTGGAGTCTGTGTGAGGATTCTTGAGAGCTTTTGTTTAGCCTGGGCTATATAGAGAGATCATGTCTCAAAAACAAAAAAAAATCCAAACACAAATAAATAAATAAATAAATGAATGAATGAATGAATGAATGAATGAATAAACAAACAAACAAACACACTCACTCTAAAACCAAATTGTAATTCTTTCTCTACTGTGGCTGGCTATATGATATATGAATGATGTCATCTATCCAACAGCTAATGCAATGTATGCTTATGGTTTTGGTTTCTCTGTTTTATTTTACTTTCCTCTCCCTTAGGCAGTCTTGCTATAATAGCTAAGGCTCGCCTGGAACTTACTATGTAGCCCAAGATGTCTCTGAAATTATAATCTTCCTGCTTCAGCATCCCAAGTGTTGGGATTATAGAAGTATTACCACCATACTTGGCTCACATTTTCAATTTTTAACATAACAAACATCATACATATAACCCCCCAAACTGTGAAATACTCAATTTTGCATTCACCAATTAACTTACTTTCGAAGTTCAGAATTTTGCTTTTCCAAGTTCATTTTCATTTCCATGAGATGATTATTCTCTTGTTTTAACTGCTTCTCTGACATTTTTAATGTGTTAACTTGCTGGGTTTGCATCTTCAGGTCATTTTGCATAAGGCAACGTTTCTGAGTCTCCTGCTCTATCTTTAATGTCAAATTTCTAACCTAAAAAAATGAATTGTATACTTGACATTTAAGTAATTTACTTTGAATTTCTAAAGAGTGTGTTTTTCTCATTCTGTTCACAGTAAAGTATATCACAGTATTGCTAAACTTATAAATATATTTTAAATAAAATATATTTATAACTTAAAATGAGTAAATTATGACCAAATCCATTAAAACCAACAAATTCTATAGAACATTACAAGAAAACAATTTAAAATTATGAAGCCATTAGATCTTCCTAATAAAATTTATTGTCGCTTCTTTAGTTTTCATTATTAGTCTAATTCATACTTACATCTTCATTTAGCATCTCTTTCTGTTTAAGCAGTTCATTTAGTTTCTGCTGTGACTGTTTGAGGTCACAGTCCAATAGAGAGCATTTTTTCTCAGCCTCCAATAGTAGGTTCTCCACTTTCTGTTTTAAAGACCTTTCCTCCAAGAGCTTCTTCTCCATTTCTATTATAATAAAAATGAACATAGTTACCAATTTGCAAATAAGGACATAATACTACTTAACTGTTACTCATTTTCAACTTGACGGTTTTGTCACTTTTTTCCATATATTTGAAATATTACAAATTTTATGCTTGAAAATTAGGAGTTTCATTTGCAGAGCATAAAGTATATCAAACTCTGTGATAAGTCCATCTATTCTAATGAAAGAAAGTTAAATTTGCCTTTATGACTCTACAAGACACTGACATCTTTTAATAAAGCAGTGCATCTATTTTTATCTGAAAATATTCCAGGTAGATTCCATGACTTCTCTTTCCACATTAACATATTACTATGCAAGTGTTTGAAATTATGTTTTAGGGAGGCAGTGAAGGACAAGATTCAGGAACCCAACTTACTAGGTAAGCTAACTTCTCTGTCTCAATTTCCTTATGTCTACGAGGACAAAAGTATTTAACCTCCTAGGCATAATACAAAAATTTTGAGGTTAATGCACATATAGAACTTAAAATACAGTTAGGCATATGGCAAGGACTTAGTAAGTGCTCATTAATGCACACAATGTCTTTTTTAAAAAAGTAAAATAGTATGGAAAATGGAGAGAATCTACAAAGTCTTACCCTTAGTAGGATTATGGGTAATCTTTGCTTTTATCACTTACATTTTTCTACTTTTATTTAGTGATTTACAATACACTTTTATTATTCAGAAAGCCACCCTTTCTTTCTTCTTTAAGTAAAGTCTATGCCTAATCAAGAAACTACAACATTAAATGTAAGTCTTATAGTTAGAGGATTATTTTTTGATTAGTATTTTTTACTTAAATCCAATTAGGATTCCTCTGCCCCGTCACACCTAATAGTCAACATCTAATAGTTTTATTAAGTAAATGTTAAATCCATGAATTTTTTTCATGTTTTTGCATGTTTATGTGTGGGGTATGTGTGTGTTTGCATGTGTGTGTGGAGGTGTGAAGTTGACATCAAGGTTTTCCTTGATTGCTCTCCATTTTATATATTAAGGCAGGGTCTCTGGGTGAATCTGCTCACTAATTCCAGCAAGTCTAGGTAGTGAGCTTGTCCCAGAGATTCCTTCTCTTTGTCTCCTAAGTGCTGGGATTACAGGTGGCTACCATGCCTACCTAGTTTTAACATAAGGTTCTAGGGATTCAAACTCCAAATGTCATGCTTGTATAGCAAGTGCTTTATTCACTAAGCATTCATCTCCTCAGCTAGAATTTTAAGTTTTTAATGAAGAGTCTTCGAAAATGTGGCAAAATGAAACACTAAGTTCTACTACTAAGTAGACAGTATTTATTTTAAATTTTATTATTTTTATTTTCTGTGTATGAGCGTTCTGCCTGCATGTATGTAAGTGCACCTGTGTTTCAAGAGTTTCAAGACTGCTATAAGAATATTTTCAAGTAATTACTTTTGGAATTTCAAATCTAAATTATTCTAAGACAATTCTAAGGTAAAAGATTGTTTGTGAAAGTTAACTTTGAGATCTATTAGTTATTATGTGGCTTTAGCCAAATCTTTATTTTGCCAGAGTCCAAAAATCAATAAATTTATATATTCTAGTTGCACTAGTTACTGCTTATAAATCTTTGTCTTACATAACTATCAATAATTTTGTAACACAGCTAGTGAAATGTCAAACTATAATAAATATTATGTCAAATATTTATTTATCTCCCAAATCTTAGATGTACCTAGAATATCTCACATTCCACCAACAATGTTACTGGAACATAAATTTCAACCTAGCAATATGGTTGAATAACTTTGTGTTTGGATTTTACTATTTTAGAAATGATTGTTATAATGACACAAAGGTAAAAAGGAAGTATGTAAAGCTTTCCTGTTAATTTTGCTCCTTTCATTTCCAAAATTTGGCAATAAAATATAAACATTTTCAAACCAAAGACTTGAATCTAGAATCAACTTGTGGCACAATGTTGCTGGAAGACTCTTTTTCTAGCGCATACCTTTCATGGCTTCTGATTTAGCTTCTTCAATGGATTCATAGATCTTATTTTTATCTGCTAGCCGTGCTTTTGTGGTCTTGTGCTCAGCTTCTTCTTGTTCTAAACTCTGCTGTATAACTTTTAGTTGATATGTCATATCTATTTCCATGTTGCTCTTTTCCTATTAAATATTTCCAATGGTAACTATTAGCAGATTTTCAAAAACTCTCAAAATTATTTCTAAACAGGCTAAGAATGTTCAGCATTTTTCCTCTCCCTCTTCATCCATGCTTTTTATAATGGTAATCCATGCTCTCTATTTCTTCAATCCCTCTGATCCCTCTACCATATGTCTTCTCTACTGTTTAGAGATTTAAATCGAGCCTGTTTAATTTCACTAATATGATCAGAGAACTATTCTCGCTGTACAATTCAAGTATTTTTCAGTCTCTTTTATTTGCAGTCATTCCACCCTTGACACTTTCCACTGATGCTGTTCAGACTGTATCCCCTGGCTCTCCCCATCCTGCTCTCATCTTTCCTCCTGTTTTGGAAGTTTCCCCAGCTACCTTCCAGATGCTGCCGTTCTTTAACCAATTCTTACAGCATTGGTTTTCAAACTTAAAAAAAAAATGTATATAATGTTTTTAATCTTGCTACATTTAAAAAAAAAAAAACCTCAAGATAGCCTACCATCCAAATAGTAGACTTTTTTGGTGTGTGCAGTCCAAGGGGTTGAACTAAGGGCCTTGCATATGCTAGGCAAGTACTCTATCACTGAGATGCATCCCCAGACAGAAGAAACTTGTTCTAAGTTGAAAACCTGGATAATAGAAGTCCATCTACTTTCTATATATGCCCCAATGATTTTCTAATTCTTTGGTATCTAAAATACATATAAATGTTATATAGTCTTTTATTCAAATAAACATGATTTTTTTTCAAATGATGTAATTCGCCAACAAAATAATCTACTGTAACCTGAATAACCACAACTCCATAGTCTCTTCCCAAATGGGTTCTTCCACTCACCTGATTTCAGCAACTTATATACCAATGATTCAAATATTACTAGTATTTATAACCAGGACTTACTGCCTTGTAGACATTCTAATTGGCTCTCCCAAAGGCACCTTAAATTTAAGCTTAAGAGAATCAGGAAGGATTTATCACTGTCTCTAATTGAACTGATTCTCCTTTATTAATTAAAGGTACTCTTACAGATCTTTCCATAACTTTTAAACCTGGGATTTGACCTTAACTATTATTCTTTTTTTTTGAGGGGGGGGTTATTTTTTATTTTTGTATGTATGAGTGTAATGCCTGCATGTATGTAAGTGCATCTGTGTTGTGCAGTGACTTTGGAAGACAGAAGAGGGTGTCAAGATACCCTGGAACTGGATTACAGACAGTTAGTCGCCATGTGGGTGCTGGGATTCGAACCCTGGGCTTCTGCAAGAATAACCAGTGCCCTTAACCACTAAGCCATCTCTCCAGCCCCTGACTACCACTCTTATACCACACCTGTCAGTTGCTAAGTGCTGTCAAATATTCTCCTACAAATACTTCTCAGTCACCCCATTTCCATACTTTTAAACACTGTTCTAATTTAAGTCTTCATTTATCATTATCTAAATTATTGAAAAAAGCCTTCTAAGTAGTCTACTTGCCTCTAGTCTTCCAATTTACCCTCTACATAGTATAGTGATCTAGTAACTGATCCTAAATGTGCCTCTAGTAAGAACATCCAATTTAAACCGTCCAGTGATCAGCCCATTAGTTAGGGACTATAATTTCTTAACAGAGTATTATGGTTCGTATATATATAATGTCCTGTATAGGTTCTCTTGATCCCCAGCTGGAAAAACTGGGATACTTGGTGGGGGAGGAGAGTGCCAGGTCTGTTTCCTTTCTTTCCTCTGCTTCCTGGTGTGTGGAAATGAAGGCGTCCAAAACACATAACTCTCAATGTCATGAACTCTGCTATGGCTTCTTCATCATGATGGGCACTGTCTTCCCAAACCCATTTAAGTTACTTTTTGTCAAGTATTTGGTCATGGTGACCAGAAAAATAACTGATGAACAGAGTACTCAAAATCTTACATGATCTAGTTTACGTCTTCCTCTGTGCCTCACTTTGTAAAGACCACATTGAACTCTTCAGGCAATTTTCACTTGATGTCTATTTTCCTTAAAAGTTTCTTTAGAACACTGCCACATTCCTTCTTCAACCTCAGCAGGGCTGAGCAATTGCAACACAGACCATATAGACAAGAAAATCTAAAATATTTATTATCTTGCCCTTAAAAGAGAAAAGCTTACTGACCCCTATATCACACTCCAGAAATATTGACTAGCTTGTACTTAAATAGTACCATTGATGTTTTCTGTCTTCAGCCTTTGCTCAGGCTGTCCTCCCCTAGCCAGAATGTGCCTTTACCTGCCCACCTCTCTAGCCTGTCAAGTCAGGTGCTCATCTTCTACACCTGATGGGCATACGTTATACAAACATCTACCATTTTGTTTATACATACTGCATTAGAATTACCCAAGGACTTTATTACTACTTTTTAATTACTTATCAGACTGTGATACTATTAAAGGCAAAACTGCATCCTGATATTTCTATTACAAAAGACACACTAATATTTAGATCAATGAATAAACAAGTAAAAATAAAACATTAACTGCACAGAGCCTAGATATCACCCCTGGCTTATGTTATTTTTTAAGAAAACTTCTGAGACAAGTCATGCCATAATTTTGTAATACATAATTTAAACAATATCTCAGTAAGATGGATATGCTGACACACACCTTTAATCCCAGCACTCAAGAGGCACTGGTAGGTAGATCTCTGGGAGTTTGGAGCCAGCCTGGTCTACATGGCAAGTTCCAGGGTAGCTAGGGGTACACAATGAAACCTGTCTTAAAAATAAAATTTAAAAGATACCTCAGTCAAAATATTCCCTGTGTCCTGAAAGCATACTTATTATACATACTTGAGTCCTTTCCTTCATAAGATCCAACACACCAAGAGCTGTTTCTTTTATGGTAAGCCTTAAAAACTATACCCCTGGTTTACATAACTAAGTCTAAATAGGAAAGAACTCATGAGTATGTGAAAATATTCCAGTTAGTGATTTCCCTTATTTTAAATAACTTTTCTCATCTGAAATCCTGTGATTTTCTTACACACACACACACACACACACACACACACACACACAGGCACACAGGTTTAATATATTTACCTTTTCCAAATCGGTGAGCTTCTCCTGTAGTTGTCTCTTCTCCAGCTCTACCTTTGCTAGTAAGGTTTTGCCAGTTTTTAAATCTTCTTCTAGGCCAGATATTCTACCTAAAAATTGCAAAATTTTTTAAAACAACATACCCATTAAGTCACATATAATCAACTGAAAATTAGGAATTTATTAGCTACTTCAGAATTTTGAACTTTTATGAGTAAGTTTTATAACTAGTCATATTTCAGCTAGAACCCAACTGGCTACCTTCTAAGTGCATACTATTTGAATGTAAATCTTTTATTTACAAAATTTGTATCAATGTACTTGTAATGTCCTAGTTTTATTTTTACTTTTTATAATGTGTGTATGTGTATATGTCTAAGTGTGGGTTTGTACAATCAGTGCAGTGCTCATGGAGGCTAGAAGAGGATGTTGGATCCCCTGGAACTGGAGTTACAGGTGGTTGGTTGTGAACCATCTGATGTGGATGTTGGGAACTGAACTCAGGTTCTCTGCAAGAGCAGTGTATGTTCTTAATTCCTGAATCATCTCTCCAGCCCAGTGCTAACAGAGTACTACATTAAAAAATGGGCTACTAAGGCTGGGCATGGTGGTGCATGCCTTTAATCCCAGCACTTAGGAGGTAGAGCCAGGCTGATCTCTATGAGTTCAAGGCCAGCTTGGTCTACATAGTGAGTTCCAGGCCAGGTGGGGCTACAGGAAGACCCTGTCTCAAAAAGACCAAAAAAAGGTGTTTGTGTGTGTGTGTGGGGGGGGGGGGGGTTAGTGCAGAGGCTGGAGATAGAGTTTGGCCGTTAAGAGCACGTACTGGCAGAAGACCTGAATTTGGTCCTAGCACTCACATCAGGCAGCTTACAACTGCCTGTACCAGCTCTATGGAGATCCAATACCTCTGGCCTCTGCAGGCACCTGCACTCACACACATATACTCACATATTGACACACACATACACAATTAAAAATAATATTGAATCTTTAAAAAAAGGATTACTAAAGTTGCATTATCTATCTAAAGTTATTTAAAAATTATAGATCATCAAACTGAAACAAGTAAAAGCTCTATTTTCATACCTTGTAAATCATTAATTATCTCTGATCCATGGGTCCGGTCCCTCCTTTCAGATTCAAGAGCTGACTGAAGATTGAGAAATTCCTTTTCAAGTTTTAACTTCGCAGTCTCCAGCAAGCAGTTTTTATCTTGGAGATCTCTATTGTTAGATTCCAGCTGCTGAATCTGTTTGGAACTTTCTGCCTGGGTTTTTCTTAACCGTGCTGCAGTATCAGACTCTGTTCTTAGCAAAGCGTTAGCTTCATCCAGCTATTAGCCCATTCAAAAGCAAACAAATAAATCACAGGTGTATATAATGAAAATACATCAGTTATTATAGCATTACAAGTTACTTAAATAAAAAACCTAAAAGTATTTTCCTAAGGATTTCTCTTTAACAGTAAGAAGCAAAGGGCTTATGCAACACTATCAACTGAAATTAATATTAACAGGTTGTCATGAATAAAACTCAACATCTTTTTATAAACTTTTGAGATCAACCTACTTGTTTCTGGAGTTGATTTACTTTCTCAGTGGATATTTGGGAGTTCTGATTTCTTTTTTTCAAGTCTTCAAGTTGATCTTTTAAGCTGTTAACTATGAAACAAAACACTTTAGTGGTCGTCAATATAACACATATACTCAACATTTTCCTTATTATTTTACACTACAAACCATCATTTTCCAAATTTCGTTTTTTGTCAGCTTCATGATCAGCTTTCCGTTGGTATTCTGCATTTTTGTGCTGAAGAAGGGCCTTTTCTCTTTCCAACTGTCTTAATACTGATTCTGCATTTTTCCTTAAGGTAATCTGAAATAATGCTTAACATTATCAGAAAGAACTATGCATAAAAATCAAATCAAAATCCTGAAAAGAAGCTAACACTGTTAAAACTGTGTTTCCCATGTTTGTAAAACAGTACACTACACTTAAATAATCATGACCCTCAATGTTTAATTTACTATACTATTCAAAGTAGTTTCATGTAACTTTCCATGACTAATGAGACATTAAATTAACATTAAATTTCAAAAAGAATTACAGCTGGGCGTGGTGGCACACACCGTTAATCCCAGCAGAGGCAGGCATATCTCTGTGAGTTCAAGGCCAACCTGGTCTATGTAGGGAGTTCCAGGCCAGTTGGAGCTACAGGGAGACCCTGTCTCAAAAAGACAAAAAAAAAAAAAAAAAAAAAAAAAAAAAAAAAAAAAAAAATACTTTGTTTTTAAAGCACGTCAAGCATTATAACTGTAATACAAACTGCACATTTTTGAAATTAATTTTTTTTAAAGTTAACATACAAAGTAATGGGTTTCATTATGGCATTTTCATACATATATGCCATTATACTTAAAAAAAGAAAAACTTGAAGTGCCTACACATACTAAATTAACTCAAGATTATGAAACAAGCCTAAGTAATAAAAGTTATCTCACACATACATATATATGTATCTCCCCTTCTGAGACAGCTCTTCCTGTAGTTCCAGCTGGCCTAGAACTTGCTATGGAGATAGTCCTGCCTCTGCCTCTCCAGTGCTGAAATTAAAGGTGTGCAGCACTACGCCTGGCTTATAATTTTAGTATTGTTCACCGATGACATAGTAAACTTTTACCGATATGTATTGCCATGGTACTATGAGAACTCTCTAACTAGATATTCAAAGATTTTTATTAACAAACTACCGATAAAATACAGGAAATTTTTACCTCTTCTTCTAGCTCCTTTACTGTTTTCTCTAGGCGAGTATTCATAGATCTAAAGAAGTTCAGAAAGAAACAAGCAAATAAAGTAGTTATAATTTATGCTAAAAGCATAGTCTATACATAGAAAATTTTATCACTAATCGGCAGCCTTTCTTTCTTAGAACAATGTTTAAGCTTCCACTTTAAAGTGTGTTTGTCTCTAGAGCATACTTGCACTTCTGTTCCAGCTCTTCCTTGGCTTGCATCTCAGTGTTCAGGTGTTCTTCTAGTGTATACAATTTTTTCTGGATCTGTCAAAAAGTAAGAAACTGTAAAATTTTTGTCACAAAGATGAGTGACTTAAAACAACAACAATCTTATTTTGCCTTTCTACTTAATATGCCCTCCTCTATGATGGTATAGTATTTGTACCTGCTTAGTGTGAATTTTACTTAGAGGAAAGAGTACCTGTCTCCTGCTTTCTCTCTTTCACAGAACATATGTAGGTATGAACACATTTATATAGCCATGGATTGAGAAGCTCTTAGTATGGTAGAATTCTGCTATGATACATTTCAAATTCATTACAAATAAGGTCTGGCCTCCTCCACTGTTCTAAAGAATCTTTCTTCTTTATTTGAAATTATTGTCATGATTGTGCTTACGAGGTGGAGATGAAGGTCTATATCTGAAATAAATACTCAAAATATTCTGGTGAAAATACTAAAGAATATATTGTTGCTTTTAAAATGAGAAATAAGAGATTGACGTGGTGTTGCACACCTGCAATCCAAGAACTTAAGAAGGCTGAGGCAGGAGGATCTCAGGTTCAAGGCTCACCTGGGTTACATGGTTAGATTCTGTCTCTAAGGAAAACAAGAGAAAAATAAACTCTTTTTTTTTGGGTGATTTCCTACATAGTGATGAGCACAGTACTATGAAAAAAGTTGCATGAGCATAATGACAGCCAATTACATTTCAAATCAGCTGCTTTATAGTTTCCATCAGCTATGTTTCAAAACAAATTAAAATTATGAAAAACTATTAAATAATCCATAATTTAAACTATTCCTTCTCTTTTAAAGAATTTAACTTTTTTGAGTTCTTATGGTCCCTTGGGTACAATGTCAGGTGCTTAACAAGTTCTGTCTCATAAAAAAAACCCTAAGAAGACAGAAGTATTATATCTACTTAATAAAGAAACTGAAATTAAAAAGGTGCTAGGAGGCAGAGGAAGGGAGATCTCTGTGAGACTGAGGTCAGCCTGGTCTCTGGGCCATTTGGGTCTAGAGATCTCTCTCTCTCTCTCTCTCTCTGTCTCAAAATTAAGATTAAAAAAAAAGGTGAATACTTAGGCCAAGACACACAGTCGAGAAGACTCCAAACTTCTAGGGATTACATTTCCTGTGGTTTCTTAAATATTTCACTCATCTTTTTAAATTTTTTTAATTATTTTTATTTTATGTGTATGAGTGTATTGCCTGCATGTATATAAGTGCACCTGTGTCATGCAAGGCCCACAGAGGTCAGAGAGGATATCAGATCCCCTGGAACTGGAATTATGGACAGCTGTTGGCCACCATGTAGGTGGTGGGAATCAAACCCAGGTCCTGTGCAAGAACAGTCAGTGCTCTTAACTACTGAACCATCTCTCTAGTCCCATATTTCACTTATCTTAAAACAAAAACTCTATTGTCCCTGATCAAGTATAGGCTAATGGCTGAAGAGAGGATCAGCCAGCAAGGTACCCGCTGCACAAGCATGGCGACCTGAGTCTGAATCTTCAACACCCACATAAAAAGTGAAGAGTGGCACTGGGCTGTGGAGGTTGGCAGAAGACACAGGCAGATCGCTGGAGCTTGCTGGCAAGCCAGTCTGGCTAAATCTGTGAGCTCCAGGTTCATTGAAAGGCCCTGTCTCAAAACAACAGCAACAACAAAAAAGAAGGTGGAGAGTGACTCAGGAAGACACCAATGTTGACTTCTGGCCTTCACACGCATGTGTACAAATACACATGAACACATTCACACACATACTAATAAATAAGAGAAATAAATAAATAAATAAATAACCAAAACAATTCTTCTAACAAGAATTTTGCTTTTGGGGCTTTTTAATCTTTAAAAAATTTTTTATTACTTTTATTTTATGTGTGTGCGTGTATTGCCTGCATGTAGGTAAGTGCACAGCGGAGGATGGAAGAGGCTATTGGATCCCCTGGAACTGGAGTTACAGACAGTTGTTAGCTGCCATGTGGGTTCTGGGATTCGAACTTGGGTCTTCTGCAAGAACAACCAGTGTTCTGAACTGCTGAGCCATCTCTCCAGCCCCTTTTTGGGCTTTTTAGAAGACTATATAGGTTAATATATTAGTCAAGGTTTTTAAACTTCTTTTGGCTGCTCCTGTAATATTTTGAGCATACTAGTTATTACAAGCCAACCAAGTTCTTGCTGTAGTTACACATCCTTAATAAATACAAGAAAATTACATACCTCTATTTTTCTTGAGATAGGGTCTCTCTATAGCCCAACTTGGCTTGGAACTTACTATGTAGACCAGGCTGGCTACAGAGATCTCCTGAATGCTGGGATTAACGGTGTGAGCCACCACATTTAGCTACATAACTCATATTTTAAGGAATAGATTCTTAAGAAAAATAATAAAAGAGTACTTAATAGAAAAAAGGTTGGGGACATCTCGTAGGTAGATGTAGTACTACAAATGGGAAGCAGACTATGATTATATTAAAATATTGTCAGATTGGTGAGTTTTCCCCTTTTCAACGTACCTCCTGACTTTCCTGTAATAAAAAAAAAGAAGAAGAAAAAGACCATTTCAATGCTTGTTATATTTTATAGAACTCCTAAAACATAAACCATTTCAAGGTTATTCAATTAACTTTTCTACTTTTGTAAATTTAAAGAAAAAATTAACATTATCATTTACATGTACACGTGTATGAGTTAGGTTTGCATGCAGTCACAAAATACTGTTATCACTTTGAATTAAGCTTAAAGCCATGTGTAACATATCTTGTTATTAGCATGTCTGGAACTAATAATACTATACATAAATGAATGAATTCCAAGTGGTGCTGAACTGTGTCAAAGAATGCCATCTCATGATTCAAAAAGGAGCATTAAGTGAACTTCTTAAAACTTAGTGGTGTATTTGAACATGCAACTAAAGTAACAAACACAGTGAAAACATATACATACTTCACTTTTCCTTGTTTGCACTGCATCATTTTCTCTACAAGATGGAGAGTCACTTAATAATCTAGAATAAGGGAAGAGAAAATTCTTACGCATTTCATTTTAATCCATTTTGTCTTAATCAAGCCATTCTCAGATTTAAACATCAACCAAAAAGATTTCTTTCTTTTCATCTTAACACATTATTTTAGATAAAGCACTAATTTTACTATTAGACAATTACATTATTTCCTATCTCTTCTTAGAAGATGGCCTAGGTATTTTTTAAAATTTTTAAAAAATATTATTTTTATTTTATGAGTATGCATAAAATACATGCATAAAAAATGCAGCCTGCATGTAGGTAAGTGCACCCGTGTCATGCAATGCCCGCAGAGGACAGAAGAGGCCATTGGATCCCCTGGAACTGGAGTTATGGACAGCTGTTAGCTGCCATGTAGGTGCTGGTATTTGAACCCAGGTCTTCTGCAAGAACAACTAGTATTCTTAACTGCAGAGCCATCTCTCAAGCCCCAGAAGATGGCCTAGTTTTAATATGGTGGGATTTAGTCACTATGTAGACCTCTATTTCCCTCTTGATTCCAACTGAGTTTCTAGAACTAGTATACTCTACCCCATCTTTAGAAAGAACCATCTCTTTTTTTCAAAGACAACAACCTATGAGTTCCATATCTTAATATATAAAATGCCTTTGGAATTAAAAAAAAATTACATTGTGTATGTGTGTGTTTGTGTGTGTGTGTATTGTTTATACTTGCATGCATGCATGTCACAGGTATGTGTGTAGAGGTTAGAGGACAACTTGTAGGAATCAGCTTTTCCTTCCACTATGTGGGTTGTCAGACTTGGCAGCAAGCACCTTTACCTGCTGAACCATCTTGACAGCCCCCAAATTGTCATTATGGTATTACTGTCAATTTTTAATTGGGTCCTTTCCCACTGTCTATAAACATAGATTTCTTCTGGACATGACATTTTATTCAGTATTTATAATAGCTTTTAGAAGATCATCATTGGGAAGGTGATCAACCCATCCTCATTTGCCTGGACTGTTCCTGGTTTTGTTCTCTCATCTTAGAAAAATACCTCACACCTGAGTAAACTCTCTTAAGTATATATGCAAACGTACCAAGAAAGTTTGAACATCTTTAATGTTTCATTTAACTATTTAACAGTGTTCAGTCGCTCTCATTTGTCAGTAAGAAAATCCCTTAGTAGAGCACTTACCAGTCATCTGTTGGGATATTCTTCCCTTATACGGTGACACCAATCTGCTTTCTAACTTATGTTCAATTCTCACCTGCACCAGCAATTATTTACTCAATGATCTTTTGACACGCTATGCTAGATGCAGAGATTACAGGCAAGGAAACCAGTGTCATCGAATACTCCAGACACTCAGACAATAGTGGCATATGTCCTGTGTTTAAGCTCTGATGGACTCTACTACTTTTCCCAGTGAATGTTCCTATTCCCTCAAATTCTCTTTTGACCTCTCCACCAATCTTCTCTAGCTTCCTCACACCTTGGCCACTCAACATCCTTTCTTACTGTCTGATGTGGTTAAAATGCTACCTCTTCTTGAGGTCTTACCTGATGTATCCCTATTCTCATTCAAAAGAAATGTAGTTTTGCTTTTTCCTTCTGGACTATCTGAATTTCTCTTGGTTTCTTTTCTTTTTTTTAAATATTTTTATTTTTTTATGTGTATGAGTATATTGCCTGAATGTATGTGAGTGCACCCGTGTTGTGCAATGCAGCGGAAGTCAGAAGAGGGCTTCTGATTCCCCTGGAACTGGAGTTAAGGACGGTTCATAGCCATCATGTGGGTGCTGGGAATCAAGCCCAGGTCCTCTGCAAGAGCAGTCAGTGCTCTTAACCGCTGAGCCATCTCTCCAGTCCCTCTCTTGGTTTCTTTTTAAAGGCAAATATCACATTCTACCTTTTTTATGACTCTAATTCTCTTATGTCCCTTCATGAGATGATAAGTACCGTAAAAAGCAGGTATTTGTTATTATTCTACATCTTCAAAAGAATTTAGGACAGCGAATATCATGTAACATTCAAACAATGATAAAATTAAAGCAGTTCAGATAGTCCAAAAACGAAGTTTAAATAAACTGATACTTAATTTTCTATTATTCAATCTCAATATAAGCTACCTTTTAGCTAGACTGTGATAGCAATAAAATTTAACAAACAAATCACATACAAATTTTCTCTAAAGTAGCTAAATCCAATAAAAGGCAGCTGATTTCCCACAAAAGCTTTAGGAATTGGGAAGGTCTCTACATCTCCTTTGTCATCTTCTATGTCGTCAAAGTTGCTGCTGTCTATGTCACTGCTGAGCTCAGGCACTACTGGAGCTGCCGCTGGGAAGGAAAAAAAAATCAGTTCACTCCCAGCCAAAATAGATGACACAACTAATTTCATTTTTATGATATATCATATCATGTTTTATGTAAAATTTTAGAAATATCTTCCACTTTGCCATTCCATAGATTTAAAACCTTACAAGTAATTACTCTTATTAGATCAGCTTTAAACATGGATTAATATACCAAACAAGGCAAGGTATATATTATTCTAGGTGCTAAAAAAATTAAAAGTAGCAGTAACACATATATATTGCACAGGATCCTCAATTTTCTACATTTTTTAAAGTAGAAATATTTTTGTCTTTATATGTATATCCTTCATGTATACAAAAAGTAAAAATGAACTGCTATGTTTTACCAATACAAATAACTACAAATAACTATTATTGCCAGGTGTGGTGGCCCACGCCTTTAATCCCAGCACTTGGGAGGCAGAGACAGGCGGATCTTTGTGAATTCAAGGCCAGCCTGATCTACATAGTGAGTTTCAGGACAGCTGGGGCTACAGGGAGACCCTGTCTCAAAAAGACAAACAAACAAACAAACAAAACCCTATTATTATGTCATTTTAAGTATTCAGATTCAAAATTTATATTCTATTACTGAGTGCTACAAAATTTTACTTAGCAAATGAAGAAATGTACAATGTAATTCCAAAAGAATTGTGAAATTTTGCTAAAAATGCAGACTACTTTACTAAAATAGTGCTGAAATAGTTAGAAATTCTGTCAAGGAAAGGAAATCTCAATTTAAATCTGAGTTAACATATACTGTATCAAACATGCCTGCTACTTCAGAAGAGGAAATCAATTTATAAAATTTTTTACTTACTCTCTCTTATGTTTTCCCAATTCCACTGATCATTCTTAAAAAAAGGGTGTTGTTTGATTTCTTCTACCCCATTTCTCCCAAGTCGTACCTCCCTAAACAATGTAATTAAAAAGTATATTATAAAAACAAAACTACAAAAAAAGTAAAATAATAACTTTTTTAAAGTTTCACCAAAGTAAGGATCACAAATGAAGTATTTTTACTAAAAGCTTCACCTTAAATGTTCCTTGAAAATAAGCTATGCCAATTTTGTAGTATTTGAGCTTTGGATAGATTAAAAAGGCTGTGATTATGCACAGAAAACTATATGGGAAATGAAGTCTATTTCCACTGACAATCTGCTGTCATTAAAATACATGAAAAATTCAGGTAAAAACATTCCTCTGCACATGCCAAACTGCATGATTCACCAACCTCAGGACAAGAGAACTTTGGACAAAGAATTATTTTAGACGTCTATAAAAGAAGTATTGTTATAAATCTGTAATCTTCTTTTATAAAAAAATTCATGTATGAAGTTTGAAACTGTCCATATTTATTCACTAAATTTATATTAAATGTTTTTCTCTATATTAAAATTATCATTCTGAATCTAAGAAAAATGTTTTGGTTAGTATTTATTGTTACCTGACACAACTTAAAAGTCCCTTGGACGGGGAAACCTCAACTGAAAAACTGCCTAAATCAGACTGGCCTGTGGCCATGTTTGTAGGAGACTGTCTTGATTCATGATTGATTTGGGAGAGCCCAGCCCACTATGAGTGGTGCCATTCCTAGCCTGGGCTATATAAGAAAGCTAGGTGAATACGAGCCAGAGAATAAGCCAGTAAACAGCATTTCTCCATGGTTTTTACTTCAATTCCTACTCCAACTTCTCTCAATGGCTGACTATGACCTGGAAGTTTAAGCTGAAATAAATCCTTTCTTCCCCAAGTTGGTCACAGTATTTATCACAGCAACAGAATGAAACTTGGACAGTAATCCAACATCATGTTTAACAGCAGGAAAAGGATACACCAGAATTAAATGCAACTTGTATAACAAGAGAAATTGATTTCCTATGTAAATAAATTAAGCTTGCTTTCATTTCTGTAAACTTTTATAAAAGGATTTCTCCACAAAGAAATTCAGTGTATATTACCTATCCGTTAAGAAGGCACAGATGAGATTCTTCGCATGTTTAGAGATTTCTGCATCCTCAGGGAAACACAGTGAATTTTTATGATCCATAATTTTGCTATAGGTTCCTACAAGTGAATCTGCATAAAATGGAGTGTCCCCTAAATTTGTAAGAAAGAAGACAATGAGAAGAGTTCACATTAAATACTCATCTAACATTTAAATATCTTTTAAAATTTATCTATTTATCTATTTTTATTTTATTGTATGAGTGTTAATCCTGAATGTATGTAAGTCCATCCATGTTGTGCAGTGCCCACAGAGGACAAAATAGGGCACTGAATCCCTTGAAATTGGAATTTCGGACTGTTGTTAGCTACCATGTGGGTGCTGGGAATTGAACACAGGTCTTCTGCAAAAACAGCCAGTGCTCTTAATTGCTGAGCCATCTCTCTAGTCCCATATTTAAATCTATCTACTTACATGGAAAAAATAGTCTATATGCTAAGAATCATAGCTAAAATGAACAGACATATGCAAAGAATGCTTTCAAGTGTTAACCACATCAATGATCTTCTACCCTTAAAGGTAAAAAACACGGTGGCACATGCCTTTAATCCCAGGACTGGGGAGCTTAGGAGGCAGAGCCAAGTGGATCTCTGTAAAAGTTCCAGGACAGCTGGGACTACATATGGGCCAAAAGAGAGGAGGGGAGGCTAGGGGAGGGGGAAGGGGGAGGAGGTGGAGAGGGAAGGAAAAAAAAAGAATAAAATAGAGCCAATGCTAATTCTAGAATTTGTTCTTTTCTTGAGACAAGGTCTTGCTATGTAGCCAAAGCTGGCTTGGAACTCACTATATGGCCCAGACTGGCTTTGAACTCACAATCCTCCAGCCTCCACCTCTACAGCTCTGTGATTATAGGCATTTACCATTATACTTTAAAAAAAAAAAAACCAGCCAGGCATGGTGCATATGCCTTTAATCCCAGCACTTGGGAGGCAGACTTAGGTGGATCTTTGTGAGTTGGAGGCCAACCTGGTCAACATAGTGAGTTCCAGGCCAGCTGGGGCTACAGGGAGACCCTGTCTCAAAAAGACAAAAAATAAAAGACAGTTGGGGACATAACACAATGGTAGAGTGTTTGGAAAGCATGCATAAGCCCTTAGATTCACTCTCTAGTACCGTAAAAAACAAAAACAACCAAACAAAAACAGAAGAAAGCAAACACTTTGAATAATTTAAGAGCAAGGTCTCTAGATGGCCTGAAACTGGTGCATCCTTTAATGTTTACAGTGGATCTGCATCTTGATATGACTCTCTCTGTAGCTCTCTTACACTATATAGCAGTCACTAGTTACATATGGCAAAGAAGTTATATTGAAATTGAATAAAATGAAGAGTGCAGCTTCCTATTTAAACACTAGCCGCATTTCAAATGTTCATTACAGGAAGTAGCTACTTGACTGGACAGATGACACAGATATAAATCATTTCTATCATGACAGACTGGGTAGTGCTGCTCTAAGAATCTGAGTATTTCTATTATTTAATGTGGGAGAACAGAGACCAGACAGTCTATATGGTACCTATGAGCAGTGGGATGGGGCAGAAGTCACCTCTCAATGCAGTGTTCCTGCTGACTAGTGTCAGAATAAAGAGACAGTGATGAAGTGTAAAGGCAGGAAAAGTATGAAGGCATTGTTTTACCTAGTACACATTTGAAGTCACAAGGGTTAAAGGCTTGCAATAGCCTATGCTACAAGTAACTTTAGTGCAAATCAGATTTCCCTAAAATCAACCATCCCAAACCTCAAAAGTTAGAGTCAGGTAGTTATTGTGGTTTGAATTCAAAGAGGCAGAAGGAGCACACTATTCAACAATTTTCTACTGTAATGGCACCCTTTAAATGAAGTGTAGAACCATCAACCTGAATAAGATCCAAAGTAGGCTCAGAATACTGTTATTCAAACTCCAACTCAGCTCTCAAAACAGTAGTGGGAATTTAAATGGCCCCTTCAATTGCACCAAATCACTTTCAAGTAAAATACTTTATTTTGTAAATTCCTAGAGACAAGTCAAGCTCCTAAGAGAATGCATTCTGCTTTGAAAAAAATTACAAGCCCTCTAATGCATCATCATGATCTACCCCAGAAGAAGAACACACAATTGCTTGAGACCACCTGGAATGTACAGGCTCACCACAAAGACAAAAACCTCAAATAAAGAAGCACACACCATAACATGAGACTAAGCATAACAAGATAAAAGCTGCATAGACTGAATCTCAACAAGAGAAGGCAATTTAAGCCACAAGAAATGCTACATTGTAATTATTACTTAACTTTGAGAGTTTCTAAAATTTTCTACTTTTTTTACAATATATATTTTAATTGAATTTTTGTGTATTTCCTACATCTTAATCATATTTAGACTCCCTATCTGCACCTCCCCTAAAGTCCCCCCACCAGATTTCATAGAAAAAAACTTTCTACATTTTTAACAATATCCATATTCAATCATCATATAGACCTTTTCACTATTAATTTCTTTTAGGATCATTTTCAAGAAGAAAAGAAATTCTGTAATTCCAAAACTTCATTTTGAGCTCTAAAGTCATTCTATGTATTTTTCTTGGTTTTATTACACCTTCTTGAAAAAAAGACTTAGCTACATTTCCCTTTACACCCAAGCAAACTAATCAGGTCATTCCATCACTGACTTCCCTACCAGAAAGTTTATGACCCTGGTACTTATAAATGGGAAAGCTTAGGAATGAAATCTATTATACAGAAAAGTTTAAGAATACTTTAGCTTCAAAAAAAAAAGTATTAAATTTGCCTGAGTTTTCTAAAACTGAAACATATTATATTTTGTCAATCTAATGGAAATTACATGTGATTTTTTTCACTGAAATTTCAAACTAAAAATATATGCAAGTAGTTTTATAAAATATACATCACAAATCAGTTAGTAACAAAATTACATGAGCTAATGAATACTTTTTAGTTCTCTGTGACTACTGGAACAGATATTAAATTTTACTTAAGTATTTAATATTTTAAACAAATATTAAGAAATCTTGGGAACTAGAGAGATGGCTCAGTGGTTAAGAGGATGTATTTCTCTTGGAGAGGACTAGAATTTGGGTTCCAACACCTACTTCAGGCAGCTTACAACTGCCTTTAATGCCAGCTCCAGGTGACCTAATGCCCTCTTCTGGCCTCCATGGGTACTTGCAGCATACACAGACCAGACAGACAGACAGACAGACAGACAGGGCATGGTGGTATATGCCTTTAATCCCAGCACTCTGGAGGAAGAGGCAGAAGAATCTCTGTGAGCGCAAGGCCAGCCTGATCTTCAGAGTGAATTTCAGGTCAGCCCCATTACAGGGAGACCCTGTATCAAAAAGACCAAATAGACAGATTAGATAGACGGACGGACGGACGGACGGACAGACGGATAGATCTTAATCCCAGTTCCAGGGAATTTCAGTGCCCTCTCCTGACCTCCATGGGCATTTGCATGACATGGGTGCACTTACATACTTGCAGGTAAACATTCATGCACATAAAAAAATAACAGAGCCAGGTGTGGTGTGGCACACGCCTTTAGTCCCAGCACTTGGGAGGCAGGGGCAAGTAGATCTCTGTGAGTTCAAGACCAGCCTAGTCTACATAGTGAGTTCCAGTCCCACTGGGGCTACAGGGAGACCCTGTTGCAAAAATAACCCCCCAAAAAACCAACCAACCAAGCAACAACAACAACAATAACAAAACTACTTGTACTCTATTGAGATGGGGGAGATGGCTCAGAGGTTAACAGTGCCTGTTTCTCTTCTAGAGGACCTGAGTTCAGTTCCTAGCACCAGTGTCAGATGGCTTATGAAATCCAGCACTATCTTCTGTCCTCTGTAGGGACACACTAAACAAACAAATAAATAAATAAATAACAAATACTAATTAACTAACTAAATAAATATAAGTGGAGAAAAAAAGAAAATCTTAGAACTGAGGTACACAGAAGCTGCAAATTTGCTCTCATTCTAATATTTCATTAATTTAAAATAATCTAGTCATTAGTAGTGGCACATCTGCAATCCCAGCGTACAACAGGTTGAGGGGATTTTATGTTTGAGTCAGCATCAGTTATGCAATGATAGTCTGTCTAAATAAATAAATAAAATGTCTATTGGGGAAATATTTCCTACCAACACATAATATGCTTTCAATTTCCTTCATGTTTGACTTCTCAAACACTATGTCAGTATTAAGTTCTATTAAATTTGTTTATTTACTCTCTGTGTGTGGTGGGATATATGCATGTGCTACAGCATGCACGTACAGGAATCAGCTTTCCTTCCACCCTGTGGGTCCTGGGGATCAGATTGTCAGGTTGAGCATCAGGTGCCTTTAGCTGCTGAACCATCCTATCAGCCTTATATCAGATTGTAATTCAAAGTCTTCAGACATTCCAATTCTACCACAGGACACAGGACACTTCTTTATATTCCCCAATTCTATTTTTAAAAAATATTTTATTCAGCCAGGCGTGATGGCACACACCTTTAATCCCAGCACTTGGGAGGCAGACGCAGGCGGATCTTTGTGAGTTTGAGGCCAGCCTAGTCTGCATAGTGAGTTCCAGGACAGCTGGGGCTACAGGGAGACCCTGTGTCAAAAAGACCAACTAACCAAACAAGCAAACAAAATATATATAGTGCAGTGCCCTCGTAGGTCAGGAAGAGGGTGTCAGATTCATCTGGAACTGGAATTACAGACAGTTATTAGATGCTGGGAGCAGAACCCGAGTCTTCTGCAAGAGCAGTCAGGTGAGCCATCTCTCCCATATTCTCAAATTCTTCACTGAACGATAAAGTGTTATAAAAAGGATTTTAAAGAGAACAAATTGAAATATTTACTTACCCACTAGCATCTCAAAAAGGAAAACACCTACAGACCACCAATCACATTCTCGTCCATAATAACCATCACCCCCTTGTGATTTCAGAACCTCGGGTGATATGTAATCAGGTGTTCCAACTGCTGTATCACAATGCACCATGCCTGTCTGAGTAAATAGCAAAGATTAAAAAACAGACCAGTGTGAAAACATGCACATTGAAAACTGATTCATTATTAATAGACATGCAATGACACATATTACTGCCAAAAGAACTTTACTGCTGATATAGCTCCAGAATATAGGGGCTATCCATACCCTGAAGTACATAGAAATGTCTGGATTAAGGGAGACCAGGAATGAGTTTTCAACTTTAAAAACCAGGAGACATTTCATCAAATAAATAAGGAAAAGGCAATGGGCTCCCAATGCCATGGAAATCAGTAGTTTCTGTTGCTTTATTTACTTGTTACATTAGGAAGTAGTTGTAAGAGAGGTACAAAATGTGATTTTGGTGTACCCAGCATGGGTGGTGGTGGGGAGAATCATCAGAAAAAAAGAAGCTTTGGTATTTTGGAAAGAAATGGAAGCACTAAAGATGGTGAGGGGCCCTTCAGCTTGGAAGCTGGATAAAGAAATGGCTCGATTTTATCAAGGAAAAAAAAGGAAATAGAGTAAATATTTAAATTTAACGATCTTAAAGGTTTGAAAATGACACTTGTAAGCTTTACATATTTCTAAATATGTAGCCGTGGTATCAATATAGTTGATAAAGTAATCACATACATCCTTACTGGTGTTTAGTTTCAGTGGATGATAAGATAATCCCTATCAGATGCCTTCTTTTATTTACGTGTGTTATTTTATTTGAATGTATACAGGTGTGTGTGCATGCATTCTCGCAAGTTTGAGTGCATGTATGTGCAGATGTATGCAGAGGTTAGAGGTCAATGCTGGGTGCCTTCCACTATTGTTCTTCACTTTATTTTTTAAATATTTTATTTACTATTTTTATTTTATGTGTATGAGTGTATTGCCTGAATGTATTTGTAAGTGCACCCGTGTCATGTAATGCCTGAAGTCAGGGGAGGGTGTTGGAATCCCGAAACTGGAGTTATAGATGATTGCGAGCCACCATATTGGTGCTGGGAATCAAACCAGGGTCCTCTGCAAGAGCAGCCAGTGCTCTTAACCACTGAGCAATCTTCTCTCCAGTCCCTTCACTTTATTTTTAGACACAGGGTCCCTCACTGCACCTGAAGCTGGTAACTGGTAACTGGTGAGACTGCCTGGTCAGCAAGCCTCAGGAATCCTTGCCTCCCCCTCCCCAGAGCTGGGGTTTCAGGCCTGTGCCACCACCATGCCTAGCTTTTTGTCAGACCTAGGGATCTGAACGGCGATCCTCATGCCTGCCCAGCAAGCATTTTAGTCACTAAGCCATCTTACTAGAACAAGGGGTGCCCTCCGTATAAAGATAGGAACCATCACAGGAATCCAGAAATGTATACAGCATGGAACACATGTACACACATATGCAGGCTGCTAAGTAAAACCAGTCTAGCAGTGTAAAGTTACATAATGCTCATTCACCAAGTCCTACCCAACTTGTAAAGATTTTATAAATTAACTCAAATGCCCGTCATTTCTTCTACCTGACTAATATCACAACATTTCTTGTGAGGAAGCTATTAAATACACACTAAGTATTAGGGTTGGGGAGATGGCTCAGTGTTAGAGCACTTGCCTAGAGTATGAAAAGCCCTCAGTTCATTCCTTAGTATCACACACCACTCCACAACCAGCAACATAAAATCTGAACAATTAAGACCTCCTCAAGAAAAGGAAATTCATAGTTTATATAGTTTATACAAATGTGTTTAAATACTATAAAGTGTGTTAAACATGAGAAATTAATTTCAAGAGCTGCATTTATTCATCTTCAATTAGGCAGAATTAACTGAATGATGTTATTTACCCAACTATAACAAATAGGGAAGTCATAATTTGAATATGAATTAATAAATTGTATGGAACTTGAACAAACAATGCAGTAATACTTTGTGCGGATTATTTCACAGGACAAAAGAAACTAAGATGATGACATTAAAAGGTAAGGCACACAATTTAAAAGGTTTGTTTGTTGTTGTTTTGACAGTGCTGAGGATTGAACCCAGGAGCTTATGTAGGCTAGACACTCTGCCATGGGGTGGGGGGACATTCCCAGACACTACAATTAACTTTTACTAAAGACTATCCTGTAGTTTCCACTTCTGTTGTAAAAATAAAATTATTAGAGACTATGAGGGTAAAGAAAATCTCATTTTGTATTTTAGATCTGTATGGACTGTGTGAAGGAGTGACGGTGGCTTCATATCTGACATGGGAAAAGAGCATTCAAAAAGAAACAGGCATATTCCCCCATATTCGAGACATGGAATGAACTCCAGATCAATAAATGTAAAGTTCCACATGAGGAAGGTTGGAAGGGAGAGCAGGGTATCAGTTTCCAGAACTATTTGCAGAATAAATACACGGTTGGACTACAGATTTTTAAGACAGTGTATTAGGTATGGGCTGGAGAGATGGCTCAGCAGTTAAGAAGAACACTGGCTGTTCTTGCAGAAGATCAGGGTTCTAATCCCAGCACACACATGGCAGCTAACAACTGTCCATAACTCCAGTTTCAAGGGATCCGACAGCCTCTTCTGACCTCCATGGGCATTGCATGACACAGGTACACTTACCTACATGCAGGCAATACACGCATACACATAAAATAAAAATAATTTAAAAACAAATAAAGTATATTAGGTAGAACGGCATTTTCCTTTTAGAAAATCAATGTTTTGTCCACAATTTTTGTTGACCATACTGTGTTTTCTTAAAAATAAGCATCTGAAAAAGGTATTTAATGTTTTAAAACTGTCTCATGGGGAAATTCTCAAATTATACAGATATAGAACCTACATTTATGAAAAGTCTCTGATTCTTTCTAAAAGAATTATGGAAAGGTAAATTAGAAAATAAAGCGACTGACTTAGGGAGTATGTAGACAAGGGGGAAGGGGATAATGGGAACAGAGTGGTAGGAATAAAAAGCCAGTAACTCTGCCCTGGTCATACACTTTGTGTAATTAGAGCTCTTAAAACCAGAGTAAGTTTCACATACTAAAAAAAAAGTAAGAAATGAGGCTGTGTTCTACAAAAGTACAGGAAAAGGTTAAGGAAAAAAGAATAAATCCAAGGAGCTTTGGAAAAATAAATGTTACTTCAATAGGATATTAGACCAAAAAAAAAAACAAAAACAAAAACCAAAAAACCAAATACATTTATCACAGTAGCGGAGACTACCAATTATTAAATAATTTTAGATGTATTCCTGGGTTTAACAAGTTAATTAGAGCTATATTTTTTTTTTTTTTTTTACTCTTGAGGAATGAAATTACAAAAAGACTAGAATGTGGTGTTTAACTTCAATCAGAGCTATCAGTTTAAGCTTGTGACTATATATAAAGACAGTTAAATAGAAACACGTGGGCATGTGGTTTAATACAGAGTGCATATAACATGTGCCTCCTAGCTCTATTCACTGACTAGGCCTACAAGTAATGACACTTCAGGAGCAATGAGCACATTTAGCACCCACATATTCTTATTCCTAATAAAAGAAATGAGAGCTTCTTAGAGAGATAAGCTGGCTCCAAGGCTAAGGAAGAAAATGGACAAGTTTTGAATAATCGATAATGTCAAAAAAAAAAAAAAAAAGAAAATGAACCTTTTGAGGACATGCTGAAAGGATATTGGAGTTACCCTAAGAAGACTTCACAAGGTAGTAATTATTAAGCCAATGTGTAAGTAAGAAATTGCCAGGAAGACCATAAGCCAGCATATATGAAGTCAGCAATCCTAAATAACATAGTATGAAAGCAATTATATGGGAAGTCACAATTTCTGAGCAGTAAGGTACTATCACATAACAGAGCATAAGGACTAAAGAGGGGCCATATCTATCATAAGAGGTTTCATATGACAAGCCAAAGAGCTTGAACTATGGTCAGTAGATGACAGGAATCTACTGAAGACATTTCACCTGGAGTTCAAGATAATTAGGTATTCATTTTCAAAAGGTTGCTTGAAGTTATTTTAAACAGGGGCTCTGGACAAAAGTGCTTGTTGTGAAAGCACGAGGACTTGTGAAAGCTGGATCCCCAGCACCTAGGTAAAGAGCCAAGCATGGCAATATATGTGAGCAACTCTAGTGCTAGAGGTGGTCCAGGTACAATAAGACCCTGCCTCAAAAAATAATGTGGAGGGTTAAGGAGATGGTTTAGTCAGTGGATAAGAGCACTTGTACAAGCATAAAGAACTGAGTTCAAATCCCCAGCATTCACCCCCCCCCAAAAAAACACCACAGAGTTCGGTGCCCAAAACCTCAGCACTGGGGGATGAGGAAGGCAGACAGACCCCAGGAGCCTGCTGGCTAGTGAGCTCCCAGTTCAGTAAGGGACCCTGTGTCAGAGTAATACAATGGACAGTGATAAAAGATACCTGACATTTTCCCAGTAGTGGCCTCCTCAGGCATGTGCATACATGTTGCATGCATACCTCCCCCCAACACATAAAATTAAAAATTGAAATAAAATAGTGGTGAGAGAAAGGGGAAGACATTGACCTCTAGCCTCTACACACGCACTCATACGTGAGCATACTTGCACATACATGTGCACACACATGCATACACCACATATACACACACACAATATTTTCCAGGCCACTGGCTGGCCTGGAACTTGCTGTGTAGACCAGTTTGGCCTGGAACTCACAGAGATTCACTTGTGTTTCCCTCCCAAGTGCTAGGATTAAAGGCACCACACCTGCACCCAAAATTCTTTTAAATGTATCAAATTAAATATATACTTTCAAATATAATCTATGCTTTGTCACTGACAAAATACAGATCAAAAGAATTTACTGAAAACTTAAAATTGGTCAATCAAAAGTCATGAGGTTGGTCTCAAAAAGAATTTCAAAATGCTTCCTATAAAGGAGGAAAAGAAAAATTATAAAATTCTTAATTTTTCAAAATATTTTTTACTATTTTATTTTATGTGTATGTATATGAGTGTATTGCCTGCATGTAAGTGCATCTGAGTCATGCAATTCAGAAGGGCATCAGATCTCCTGGAATTGGAGTTACAGATGGTTGTTAGCTGCCATGTGGGAGGTGGGAACCAAACTTAGGTCCTCTAATGAGCAGCTGGTGTTCTTAACCACTGAGTCATCTCTCTAGCCCCTAATTTTCCAAAATATTAAATGCTCCAGATTCACTGCTGCATAAGCAAGAGACCTTTAAGTCGATTCTGAAAATTAATACTGAGCATTTGCATCTCTGCTGAGGCACACCTCTTCCTGGTGAGGCTCTTGGAAAGCACAGGTGTTATCTATTCTTTCAAGCTCTCTAACTAGATTGTCTTACATATCCCCTTAGGTACCAAATACTTTCACTGTAGTGCTGATAATACAGCTATACAGCTTCTTTCTTGTCATTGTTGGGGAGGTGAGTTAAGAGGACATCTTTTAAGAGTGGGTTTTCTCTTTCCATCACTTGGCTCCTGAGGATTGAATTTAGGTTGTCAGGCTTGGCAGCAAGTGCACAACAGTTTCTGAATGGGCTTCTTGACTTGCTCCTGTAACGCAGCATTTATTTCCATATTACTACTCTTTAAAGTACAATTTTGAGGAAAATAAAAATGTTCAGAAACATGAGGATAAAGACCTATATTCTAAAAATGGAAGTCACTTGTATAATTGTTAAGAATTTAAAAAGTTATAGGGGCTGGAGAGATGGCTCAGAGTTAAGAGGACTGACTGCTCTTGCAGAGGACCCAGGTTCGAATCCCAGTACTCACATGGTGGCTAACAAATGTTAATAACTCCAGTTCAAAATCTGACACCCTCTTCTGACCTCCACAGGCATTGCATGACATGGGTGCACTTAACATACATGCGGGCAATATACTCATACACATAAAATAAAAACAATAAATTTTTTAAAAATTAAAGGTTATAGCCTTAATCTAGCCGAATGGTATACATTAGAATATTAATGGATAAAATCTTATTCTATGATAACTTAAAATACTCTTGGTATGATGTACTTTAAAAGGGATAACGGTTGCTGTGAAATGCATGACAGGCGGGAGCACATCTGATATCTAATTTGCAAGTCATTTTAAATGTTAGCTCTATACTGTCACGGAGGCATCTCCAGATGTAAATATTCAATGTAGTTTAATCAACTTGGATCACACATCCAAGTAAACTGTGTTGAATTTTGGGGGTTTTGTTTGCTTTATGAGGCAGGGTTTCACTGTTCAGCCCTGGGTGGCCTGAAACTCATGATGTAGACCAGATTGGCCTCAAACTCACAGAGCTCCTTCTGCCTTTGCCTCGAGTGCTGGGATTAAAAGCATGTACCACCATGCCTGTCTAGCTCTCTTTTGAGAAAAAAGAGTAGAGCAACAGCATCCAGAAAACTGTATAATCTACTCTTTGTCCATGAAAGAATTTGGTGAGACACCACTATTCTTAATTTAATAACAAATCATTTTAGTCTAAGTTGTACTTTCATAGCTTCTTTCATCTATGACACAATATCAGAGGAAGTCAGGATAGCTGAAAAATAATTTCTAGACAAGGAGTAGACAAACTTTTTCTGAAAAGGGCCAGATTGTAAGAATTTTAGGGTTTGTGGCCACATAAAGCATCTTTTTTCTTAAGCAATCTTTGAAGCGAATAAAAATAACTCTTATCACATAAAGCTATACAACACCAAACCAGAGGCCATATTTGGCCCTTGGGCTCTAAATCCTGTCCATAAGTGAATGAGAATGAAACATTTCTGGAGCTCTGATGTGGTCACAATAATAAAAGAAAGGCAAACAAGTAATGGGCCTCAAACTTGTACTAAAATTAATTATCTAACAATTAATATACAATGAAAAGTACTATGTACTATTAGTATTTTATTATAGCTGACTTTAGTTATTTCCTTACATGCTTGTAAAAACATTATTATTATTATTATTATTATTATTATTACTATTTTGGTCTTTTTGAGACAGGGTCTCCCTGTAGCCCCAGCTGGCCTAGAACTCACTATGTAGACCAGGCTGGCCTCAAACTCACAGAGATCTGCTTGCCTCTGCCTCCCAAATGCTGGGATTAAAGGTGAGCGCCACCACGCCTGGCCTGTAAAAACATTTTGTAAATACCACATTCTGTCCTCTTCCCCATATTCTCATACTCTGGACTAGTATTTGGCTAAGCACCTTTAACATGTCTCTAAAATCAAACATGATTAATTTGCACCCACCCCATCCCATTTTCAAACTACTGATTTAATTAAAAAACAGAGTACATCCACAGAAATAAAGTCCATAAGCATTACAGATTATATACACCAGGCAGAAAAGTTTAACATTCGATTAGAATGTCATTTCATATTTTATCATAGATCATTTTCACTGTTAATTATTTCATACAATATTAATGTCAATACTACAAAAGCATGGTACAATAAAAAAGACCTAGTAAACATTACTCTATAGCTACAGAACATAATAAGAGAGTCTAGGAAGAAACCCCAAAAGTAAAGTGCTATTAAGTTTTAACTGAGTGCACAGTTAGACAAAAAAGGCCTACGGCATTATGTCTGAATAAGCAAAGACATTATAACATTAAAAGATTAATCAGATTAGAATTATCAGGGAGAACTTTCTAGATGAGATAAAATTTTCAGCTGATTCTGAAAAAAGAGGTACTGCTGATAAAGCTAAGATAGTAAAAGTGAAAGTCAAGCAGGTGTCATGAATAAGTTAAGAGGTAAAGAAAATTATAGTTCAAACTACATCTGTCAAAATATATGTCCTGGATAGATGACTAACAAGAAATAGAAAGCTATGTAAGCATACTGAAAGATTATAAAAATCATGCCAAAGATAATATCCGGTCTGCTGTCATCATATATTTAACATTTACAACTTATCTTCTAGTTGATCCTATTCCAACAGGAATTAATAGTACAGAAGGGGAAGGAAAAAATATAAATTTTTCAAACAAATCAATATCATAATTAACTATGAAGTTAATGTTACTGAATCAGTTAACCAATCATAAGAACTATTTAAAAGTAATTATCACATTAGATGATGTCTCCAAATTTATTATATATTTGATGAAGAAGGGGTAGGTGAAATGGTAACATTAATTTCCTTTCTTATTTTACGTTACCTCCTTTCTCAAAAGGAAAAAATACAGAAATAGCAAGGGTGGTGGAAATACTGCACTTCCATTTTTATTCTGTGGCCTAATTCTATACACGTAGATCATTCCAAACCAGTTTTGACTGGTAACAAATGCTTGTCAACATTCTATGAGGAAGATAAGTTAGCTGAGTATTCATTTTCTCTTGTAAAAGTGCTTCTTTTATAGGCCTCATGGCCTGAATTTAATCTCCAGAACCCATTTAAAGGTCAGAGGATAGAACTGACTCCACGAAGTTGTACTCTGACCTACACATGCACACCGTGGCACAAGGCATGTACATATACACAAAAAAAAATTATTAAAAAAAAGTTAAACTATCATGTTTTACTTGCTTACTTACTTCATCCATCTTCATACATGTGCCAAAATCTGCTAATTTTAGATGTCCGTGTTTATCCAAGAGCATATTATCAGGCTTCACATCTCTGTGTATTAAACCCATAGAGTGTATTGCATCCAGTGCAAGCACAACTTCAGCAGTGTAAAATTTGGCCCATTTTTCAGGCACATCATAATTACTCATAAGGTTTACAAGGTCTCCACCTGGCATGTATTCCATTACCATGTACAGATACCTGTCATCTTGAAAGGCACAAAAGAGCTGGAAAACCAAAAGGAAAAGGGGGAAAATTATATTAAAACCAAAGCCACAAACCAAACAAAATCCTGAAAGTATTATTAGTGAAAAAACAAAAAAACAAAAAAACAAAAAAACAAACAAAAAAAAAGAAAAACCATCAAACTACCTTAAGTGAGACAAAATCCTGAAAGTATTATTAGTGAAAAAAAAAACAAACAAACAAAAAAAAAAACAAACAAAAAAAAAGAAAAACCATCAAACTACCTTATAAATAAAAGTTAAAACTTATGAAATCTTTTACTTTAGACTTAGGCATGTTTACTGAGAAAACAGCAGACATAATTTCCGCATGAGTATTTTTCAGGCCAACCATAAAATATGTATAAATAAACATTTTTCTCTCATAGAAAACATAAAATAGGAAACTAAAAAACATTTTAAGTGACACAATAGGAATGAGAAACATAAAAGCTTTAAAAAATGACAGAATTCTAAACAAATAGCTTCCTTAAAATTAAAAAGCTTTAAAAAAATGACAGAACTCTAAAACAAATAGCTTCCTGAAAATTAAACAAATTATTATACATACCTTACAGAGAAGAGAGCTGGGGAGGTAGGAACAGTTTAGAAACATCTAAATGTATACCAATTCAACAGATACTACAAGAAATGAGCCCCATTCCAATGAGAATATTTAATTAGTAGCCATACTTGGAATAAACTCCCTTTCTGCCCCTCCCCATCCTCTTACCCATGATAAACAACAAGTAGCATTGTCATCTGTACCCAGATTATAGTGTTGCTACCAGATTCCAGAAGAGAAAGAGAAACCACAAACTCAGAAGAAAAGGTATCTGGATCTACACATCTCACCAAACAACACAGTGCCCCACCTTCAACTCCTCCTTGGAAACAAGCACTGCAAATGGACAAGACTTCCACAGCAGATGGAAAAGAGAGAACAAACCTAAGGATCAGTATTTAAGCAAAACCAACATCATGAAGTAGGGGCAAAGCAATGCAACAAATAAAATTTATAGTCATACATTACTTAATAAGACAGAAGGACATCTTTAAATATGTAAGAACAGTACCAACAAAAGGGTAACAGATATTACAGCAATTAAATAGTAAACTGATATGGGGGAAAAAAACTATCCTAATATCTAAGAATTAAATATATGGCTGACAACAGAACAAATTACACAGCTAGGAAATTGGACCAAAAAAAACCTTTCTTTGAACACTGAAGGATTCAGAGATAAAATACGGAGCAAGGGTGGCAAAGCCCCAACACCCACCTAGAAGCTCTAAAGGAGAACACAGACTAGAAGAAAAACAGAAAATAAAAACTTCTAGAAATAAATTAAGATTTAAAAACCTAAGACTGAAAAAATTCTCTAAAAATATAAACGTAACCCCAAAAGATGCTTTACTTTCAAAAACATACAGTAAGTAATACTGACAACAAATCTGTTCTTCAATATGCTACATATCAAATACAACATAGTTATATCTTCAGAGATTGAAGGAAAATAATTTGTTCCAAGAATATGGCAAACTAGGAAACAAATGAAATGACAAAATTATATTTCATAAAAATCATTTCTGAAACAACTGCTCTTAAAGGGTACAGTTTGACAGAACTGAAAAATAAATCTAAAAGGAGGATTATGTGAGACACAGGAAAAAAAGAAATAAAGAATCTAGAAAAATCCAGTATTAAGTATAATTAGTTACACATAATCACTTATTTGAGAATTGAGTCAAAAGTCACACAAATTTTAAGTGGTAAGCAGGAAGAGATGAGAAAGCATCATAAAACTGCTTATCAAACTGAAAAATACTCTGCCTCTTTGTGTATCTGTTTATATATAATGTGCTTAACTCTAAATGATTTTTTAAAAAAGAGAAACATCAGGTATATAGACTGGAAGACACTATCAAAACGACAATTTTCCCTAAATGGATTCATATATACAATGCACTTTCTATCTTAAACCCCAGGGTTATATTCCCTACTCCAAATCCAGAAAGTTGTACACTGACACTTAGTGAATCTTCCTGTGAGGAACACATTGACGTTCTGCTGCTGGGAGGGTGATGTCTGCTGGTTCCACAGGGAGAGGACACACAAATTCTGCATCATTTGCTTTTATAGCAAAATTGTAACAATAAGCATAGTGCTCCTCTGAGTTCTGTGGGCTATCTTAGTGAACTATGGGGCCTGAAGAGATTATGGAGATGGTTAAATTTGTAAGTTGGTTATAAATGTGGCTGGATGGTCAGCTCTCCACACTCAGGATTCATAAACCAGGAGACAGCCTTCACCAAGAACCCAACCATGTGGGCATCCCAATCTGACTTCCATACTGCAGATTTATGACAAACAAATGTCTATTATTTAATCTACCCAGGCTATGGTAATTTGCCTCAGCAGCCTGAGAAAGGGTGATGAAGCTAAAGCTCAGCAACACAGTCTCAAATAGTTCACAAAAAAAATCCCTTCAAGCCAGGTGTGGTGGCACACACCTTTGATTTCAGCAATCGGGAGGCAGAAACTGAAGAATCTCTGAATTCAAGACCATCCTGGTTTACATAACAAGTTCCAAAAGTTCCAGGATACATAGTGAAATCCTGTTTTGTTTGGTTGTTTTTTTTTTTTTTTTTAAGGTTAAAAAAAGGTTTAAATTATGGGGTTGGAAAGATGGTTTAGTGATTAAGAGTACTTGCAGCTCTTGCAGAAGTCTTTGTATCACAACACCCATGTCAGGTAGCTCACAACCACCTGCAACTCTACTTCCAGGGGATGAGATACGAATACACTTAATTAAAAATAAAAGAAATCTTTTTAAGTAAAAAGTGAGCAGAGGTAGCTCAGTGGGAGTGTTTGCCTTAACATGCATAAGAATCTGTGTTTAATTTCCAGTATTTTACACACACACACACGAGCTAACTTCTGACTTATCCCACCACACAAATTACTTGAGCTAAGACCTGAGACTGAAATTTGTCTGAACAAAAACAATCACTTTCAACTTCATCAACTACTGAAAAGCTTTGAAGATCAACTTTTACTGTAGATTTGATAATGTTTAATTAATACATACTAAAATTAAAATATCTTTTTTTTTTTTTTTTGGTCTTTTTGAGCCAGGGTCTCCCTGTAGCCCCAGCTGTCCTGGAACTCACTATGTAGACCAGGCTGGCCTTGAACTCACAGAGATCCGCCTGCCTCTGCCTCCTGAGTACTGGGATTAAAGGTGTGTACCACCACACCTGGCTAAAATATCATTTTTAAAAAATATTTTATTTTTATTTTATGTGTATGAGTGTATTGCCTGCATGTATGTGAGTGTACCTGTGTCATGCAATGCTGCGGAGGTCAGAAAGCTTCAGATTCCCCTGGAACTGGAGTTAAGGATGGTTCATAGCCACCATGTGGGTGCAGGGAATTGAACCCAGGTCCTCTGCAAGAGCAGTCAGTGCTCTTAACCACTGAGCCATCTCTCTAGCATTTTTAACTTAAAAAATTGCTTGTATGTAGCATTACATTGTATATAATCATTTTTATGACAATTAACATCAAGCTGCTTTATATACTTCTCTTGCTATGAAAAGTTAAAATTGAGAAGCAAGTTTAAGAACAGCCTAAGTTACAAAGCCAGACACTGTCTCCAAAACACAAGGAATAAAAAAGGAGGGAGAAGGAAAGAATGAGGAAGGGACAGGAGAGGGGGAGGGAGAGAATGAATATGAGAGAACTGTAGTTATGAGAAAGTACAGGAGAATTTTTTTTTATAATTTTGGGCATATGGAAAGTGTTACCAAGAATCAAAAGCTAGAATCTATATATTTAACTACATCTAAATTTAAAACTTCAGTGAGATGGTCTGGTTGGTAAAGTGCTTGCTATGCAAGCATGAAGATCTGAATTTTGATCCACAGCACCTGCAAAAAAATATCTGATCCAGTGGTGGGCACCTGCAATCCCAGTACAGCAGGATCCCTGGAGCTCACTGGCCAGCCAGTCAACTCAACCAAATCAAACTCTAGATCAGCCAAGATACCTGTCTCAAAAAATAAAGATGGAGGGAAATGGTTTGAAGGGTAACAAAACTTGCAACCCAAGCCTGTCAGTTAGGTTTGATCTTAGAAACCAACATGAAAAGCTGGTTGTGGTGGCATGCATCTGTATTCCCAGTATGCTATGGCAAAATAGGAGGCACTGACAACAGAATGGCCCAGAAGTTCAAAGGCCAGCTAGCATGGAATATGCAGTGAAACAGCAGAAGTTAACAACAGACCCTATCTCAACAAGGTAGAACGCAAAAACCGACTCCTAAAAGTGGTCCTCTGAACTCCACACATGCCATGGTACACACACACACACACACACACAGATACTTTTTAAACTTAGAAAGACTGATGGCTCATCACATAAAGGCCATTTGCCACTAAGCCTGACAGCCTGAGCTCAATCCCTGGGACAACTCATATAGTAGAGAGATCTGACTCCCACAAGTTGTCTTCTGACTTCCACATGCACATTGTAGCACATGTGCGCACACAAAAGACACACACAAAATTTCAACAAAGATGGAGTGCAATCAACCCAATGTCATCTCAGAACTTTGCATGCATGTGTGTGCACGCAACACTCACAACTTAACAAAAAAACAAGTAATAGCATAGAGAACATGTTTCTTTCTTTGTAATCTTAGGGATCAAATGCAAAATGTGTGCATGCTAGGCAAGTATTCTACCAAAAAGAATGTATTTCTAACATATATAGCAAAGCATTAATACCCAGGATCTATTAGCATTAATAAAAATTCAAGTAAACCATCACTTTAGAAAAATGAGAAAAACAGTATTTACAAAATATGAATTCCTAAGAATATGAAACATGCCATGTTTTGTCATCTAGAAAATGACTTTATAATCAGTTATTTTTCAAGCATACAAAAAATAAAATATAAGTTACCACATAATTAAGAAGATAAACTTAAAAAAAGCTTTTTTTCACAAGTCAATTTGGCACTTATGATCAAAATGTCAAATGTGTATATTACATCACTCAGAAATCCCAATATTCTAAAGGAAATCTCTGGAATACCTTGTTACATCATATAATAAGTAAGCAATTATAGACTCTGGTGGTTTGAATGAGAAATATCCTCCATAAGTTCATTTATCTGAACACCTGGTCCCCAGTTGTGGTGCTATTTGGGGAGGTTATGGAACCTTTAGGAGGTGTGGCCTTGCTGGAGAAAGTACATAGCTGGGGGCAGGCTTTGAAGACTTACAGCCTGGCTCCACTTCCTGCTTGCTCTCTGTTTCCAGCTTGCTGATGAAATGTGATCAGTCAGTTTCCTGCTCCTGCCACCTGCGGCCATGCCTTCACTCCAATTATGGACTCTAACCCTCTGGGATGTAAGGTAAAACAATACTCTCTTCCTTATGCTGCTTTTGGTCACGGTGTTTTATCAGAGCAACAGATAAGTAATTAACACAGACTCCTAAGGCTGTGTCAAAGGTATCGTGAGCTAATCCGAGTACGAACCCATTAGCCAAAGGTATCTAAATAAGCACCAATACATTGTTCAAAGGAACTAAACATCAATAGGTTTCTTAAATCCATGCATTCAAACTACTCTCCCCACAATGAACACTATTACAAGAGAAAAGAAAATAAGTTTATATTTTGAAAATTGGTAACTACAAGCAAAGACTAAAACCTTTATCCTACCCTTCCTATGAGGACTGTATCACTGGGCAGGAGAATATTTTACTTAATAGAAATATTCTAGTCACTACAGTCTAAAAGGAATGACTAAATTGATCATCCCCATTTTACAATACTTAATAAGTTAACAGACCAAGACAATGAGCAAAAATAACTGGAAAATCAATAGAGACCATTAGACATTAATCTCCTAGTAGAAGAAAAACATAGCCTGAGAATCAGCCCTTCCATCAAGCCTGAATCTTATCAAGCCTCTACATCTATCAATCAATCTGCAAAAATACAGAATTACGTGAAACTACACCATAAGGACAAAACCAAGAAAATAGAGGTTTCTTAACCTGAGAACAAAAGAAAAAAAAAGTAGAGGGACACTGTAGATTGACAGGCTTAAAAGATATATCTAAACACAGAACTTTAAAATGCCAAAAGTAAAATAAGGTGCTTAGGGACAGATACTGGGTAAAGAAACCACAAAGAAAAGCAAAGAAGCATTTACCACAAAAAGGTACTAGAAAAGCAGATCGACCGACCAACCGACCAACTGACCGACTGACCTACCTACCTACCTACCTAGTTTTTAAAAAGACATATAAACCAGAGCCAGGTGTGGTGGCACTCACCTGTTGTCCCAGCACTTGGGAGGAAGAGACAGGCAGATCTCTGTAAGTTCAAGGCCAGCCTGGTCTACATAGAGAGTTCCAGGACAGCTGGGGCTTACATGGAGACCCTGCTTCAAAAGACCTCCCCGCCCCCCCAAAAAAATACACACACACACACACACACACACACACACACACACACACACTTACCTACCTACCTATCTATCTAGTTTTTAAAAAGATATATAAAGTTCTTTCTGCAAACAAAAGAACTGAGTTTTAGCTGGATTTGGTGGCTCTCACCTGTAATCCTAGCACGAGAGAGGCTGCAGTGGGAGGATTGCTGAGTGCTATATCTGCATAGACACAGCATGTAATAATTAGAGTTTGAAATTTGCCAGTCAAAACTATAATGTGAGGCCCTTCCTCAATTCCTCCCCCACCCCCAAAAAATTTTTAAATGTGTCCATTTTCATTTATTTAATTCAAACATAAATCAAAATAATATCTCTAAGAAATACAAATATGTCAAAGCCCTATGTTGCAGCATAATTAATATGAGAAAAACAAAAAGAGGGCCAGTGAGAGAGCACAGCTGGTAAAAGCAATAGTCACATAAGTCTGATGACCTGCATTAGCTTGAGGTAAATGGTTACCTCCCCATATTTGTCCTCCAACCTTCATATATGTGCCCCCTACACACAATCACACATCACTTGCTCACACACACACATACATCTTTTTTTTTACAAATATGAAAAGAGCTGTTGTAAATAAGAATATAGAAACAAAGGGGTGGAGACATGGCTCAGCAGTTAAGAGCACTAAAGTGCTCTTGCAGAAGACCCAGGTTCAGTTCTTAACACCTACATAGCAGCTCACAACCACCTCTAACTCCAGTTTTAGGGGATCCAATATTCTGTTCTGGACTCCATGGGCACCAGGCACACATAGTGCATATATTTTATGTGTATGAGTGTTTACTTGCATGAACGTAAGTGAACCCATATCATGTAATGCCTGCTGAGACGAGAAGAGACATCAGATCCCTTAGAACGGAGTTACAGATGGTTGTAAACGCCATGTGGGTGCTGGGAATAGAACCTGGGTCCTCTGCAAGAGCAGCCAGTTTCTTTAACCATTGAGCCATTTCTACAGCCCTAATAAAATATATAAATCTTTTTTAAAAAGTAGTGAATAGTCATTCTGAAAAAGAAGTGAGGGCAGGCAAGATGGCTCTGGAGGTAAAGACACTTGCACAGCCAAGCCTGCCAAGCTGAGTTTGATCCCCCAAGACCTGCAGGGTGGAAGGAGAGAACCAACTTCCACAGACTGTCCTCTGACCTACAAATGTGGGTCATGGCACATGGGTGTGGCCCCAACCCAATAAATAAATGGAATAAGATTTTAAAATGAGAACTAAGACTTGGAAAACTTTGAAACAATCCACTGAAATTGATTCTACACATATCCTATGAACCATTAATTTTTCTGCAAGATAGATCCTAAATGGAATGGGTAAAACATATGTGCCAAAATCCACATGAAAGAATATCCACAGCAACATTAAAACTGCCAAGGTCTAATGAGACGATTCTTGCTACCAAACTTGACAACTTGAGTTTGATCCCCAGAACCCACATACTTGAAAGAGAGAAACAATTCCCATTAAGTAGTCCTCTCACTTCCACATGCACATCATGGCATGCACCCACCACCCATCCCCACATTGAATGACTGACTGACTGAATGAATGAATGAACGAACGAACGAATGAACAAATAAGAAAAGTGTAGCCAAGAAGGAAAAACAATCTACATGTGGCATATGCATACAGCAGGTTATTATTCAGCCATAAAATGGAATGAAGTGCTGATATACACAGGAAGAAGTGCTGAAAACATTACACTACTTGAAGGATGTCACAAAGAACCACACTGTATCATCTCATTTATATGTATACAAAATAGGCAGTCCACAGAGAGGAAAAAGTATACTAGTAATAGACAGGGCCAGGGGTCAGTAAGAACTGATGAATACTTGCTAAATGGCTCAGGATTCCTTTTGGGGGTAATAAGAGCATTTTAAAACTAGGTAGTAAGGTTGTTGTACAACTCCATGAATACATTAGAAATTACTGGATAAGTAAGTCAGTCCTTTACACAAAATTTCCCTCAAAATTAAGTATATCACACATATAAGTAAAATAGTGTATGGCATATATTGAGGGGGGAAGAGGTGAAAGGGAAGAAGTGATGGAAGGCACAGAGAAATGGAGGCAACAATATAATCTGCGTAATAGCTGAATAATAATCTGTTGTCTGTATATGCTACATTTTGTTCATTTTTATATTACTATGCTTTCACTGCTGATTTTCTTCCTACTACGTGCATCACAAGAAAGGTTAAGCAGAGAAGGGCACACTGGTAATCAAGTCAATTCTTTATATGAAAGAATTAAAAAAGAAATAGTTTCAAGTAATACTTGTTTCTATAGCCAATTTAAGTAATTATTGCATGCTATGTCTATGTAGATTGTAGATACAGCACTTAGCCACATTAAACAGGCGTACTAAGTCAAGTCTTATTAAAAATAATTGCATTGTTACTATGTGAATGGAGCGTAGAATGTTCAGCACACAAAGCAAACTCTTCTGAATAAGCACTTGCAAAAAAGGAAACAGACTTATATAAGTTAATATGCTTACCTGAACCACCCAGGGACTATTGGCAAAGGCCATAATATCTCTTTCTTCCCAGAAAAAAGCAGAATCTGATCTTTTTATCATTTCAAACTTACTAAGAAGCTTCATAGCATAAACCTTCTGTGACGCCTTATGACGAACCTGTGGATTTTTAAGAAAACAAAAATTAGTAATACTTTATTTGTATGAGGAGAGCGATCATACCACAATGCTATTAAAGACCAGATGCAAAACAAAATGATCCTTAACTAAATAAAAGTGCATATAAAGATCCTATCTCAAAAACTGAACCTCCAAAAGTCAAAGCATAATGCTTAGAGCCTAAATATTTCAGGAAATATGCATTACCTTTGAATGCTAGTTATGTAAATAATTATATCATTTCATCTAAATAAAGTTAGATTCATCAAGCTTTATTCCCTCATGTTCATTAAGTCAACCAGTTTAAAAAATAAGATACTATAAAGTAGGAAATTTCTAAGAAATATTTACTGAAGGAAAAAAGCTCCTTTAGTCTGAAACATCAATGTATAGATATCCCTCATTAGCTAAACATTAAGAATTAAAAGAGATATCAATTTTGTTAATTGTATTTATTAATTTTTATTAATGCATTTATTTCTAGGTATCCTTATTTAAAAGATTTATTTTCCTTAAAGGAAAAAAACAACCAACAATTTCAGTTATTTGATCAATTCCTATTTTCCTATTATTAGACTATACAATTCTTTTTTTAAATTTTTTTAATTTTATGTGTGTGAGTGTATTGCCTGAGTATAGATAAGTGCACCCGTGTCGTGCAATGCCCACTGGAGTTACAGACAGTTGTTAGCTGCTATGTGGGTGCTGGGATTCGAACCTGAGTCTTCTGCAAGAACAACCAGTGTTCTTAACCACTGAGCCATCTCTCCAGCCCCTAGACTATACAATTCTTAAGGGCAAAAATGGTGTCTATTTTTAACCACTCTTAATTCCCAGAACATAGCAAAGTATCACAAAGTCAAAGAATAAGCAGCCAAAGATTATAATAGCTAGCACATGTTGGATAATAATAAATAACAACTGGTAATATGTATATTAAACTGAAACTTCTAAGCTTTATCCCTGAATTTATCCTTCCTACAGAAGTCCCCATGTTGGTAATACAGCAGCTTCAGTCTTCAAGCTGTTCAGGCTAAATATGTGTCAGAAAATCATGCCAGTTTCAGAATCCAACCATTTGTAACTGCTTCCATTGCTACCAACCTAGTTCTAACATCTTTTATTTCAATTACCAGCAAAATCTTAACTAGTTTTCTTACATTTTTCACATCCATTTAATCTAATGATGCATATAAAACAAACCAATCCTGGTCACTCCTTAGCTTAACATCCCACCCCTTTTTAAAACAAAAATTTTTTATTGAATTTTTGTGTTTTTCATATAGAAAATCATCTTTATACTCCCCCTTTGGCACCCTCCCATACCCCCCACTGGATTTCATACCTTCTGTCATTTGTGTTAAGGTCTACCATGTAAGGTTAGTGTCCCCAGATGTCCCTCAGTAAAAGTTCATCCACTGGGATCTAGTCAGTCTATCAAGAGTCCCTCCCTTTAGGAAGATCAGCTCATTTTCACCTAGTAGTAATCAGCTGCCAATAATTATTCAACTAATATTGGGGCCTGCTGTTCATCTCCACAGTTCTGTGCTGAATTTTTGTCTGCTTAAGTTTGCATGAGTCTTGTGTATGCTGATACCATTGCTGTGGGTTCGTATGAGAAGAGTCCCAGGAGCCTATAGGACTCTTTGATCGTTTCTGTAAGATCATACACCTCCTCCCTGGCTCTTACAATCTTTCTGCCCTCTCTTCCTCAATGATCCCTGAGCCCTGGGTGGGTAGATTTTAATATAACAGTACTGTCCAAGGACCCACACTCTGCAGACTCTTATTCTCCACCTTTTGACCATTTGTGACCTTTTGAGTTGCTGGCCCTCTGTTGCATGAGGGAACTTCGCTGATGAGAACTAAAAGATGCATTAGTGCTCTCTTCATTCCTTGTTCTATGATCTGTGAGCCTTAGGTTATACAGGTTGCATCCTAGATGTGACACTTAGGCTTGTGCAATCCAAAGAGAATCTCTGTGTATGACCAGTTTTGGAACTCCGTAACTATGTCTCTTGAAAAAGAAGCTTCTTTGATGAGTGGTGACTGGGAGACATGTCTATAGATTGAAGGATCCATATTACATTTGTCTAGGGATGTGACAGCCTTGGAGTTTCCTCTAAGATCTACAACCTCTCCAGCTATGTGTATTTGGCTAGGTTTATAGCACTACATATAAACTTCTTCCCATTGAGTGGGCCTTAAGTCCAATTAGGTAGCTGTTGATTACCCCCCAAGATAAAAGTGCCACTACTGCACCAATGTTGTTTGCCATACTAGTCATTGATGTTTTTAGGCCTTGAAACTGGGGTTGGACCACTGATTTATGTTCTCCCTTATCAGCTTGCATGGTGCTCTCCAAGGCTATGAGAGCTAGCCCTCAGGGGAGGTGGCTTCCAGGTTAGTTCCAGTTCTGTTGCTCCAAATCCTGTGTCCAAATTATGTCCTGTCTTCAGCAATAGGGTCTTACCATCAAGTCCTGGGAGGCAATCAAGGACTGTAGCAATAGCCTGTGTAATTTTGGGAGTCTCTTGGACTATCCTGATCAGCAATTCAAAAGGAAGGTTTCTCCGGTCTGGCACTGTTTCTTATTATAATAAGCTATATATAATATATAGCTATATATATATAATATATATATAATAGGCTATAGCCTTCAGCTATACTCACAGACTCAGGTAGAGATATTTTATGTGTAATTTTTCAGGAGGTTTTTGGACTAATATCATTCCCTTTTTTTTTTTTTTAATACTAGCTAGGCAATATTTATCTCTCCTTTCTCTCCCTGTCTTATCCTCCCTCCCCACCCTCCTAATTTAAAGTGTCTTTAAATTTTCCCCATTTCACCCTAGGTCCATCCATTTACTTGCAAATTTCATTATTTCATTTTTCTTTACTGCTGTTAACATCCCTTAAAAGCCTTCCTGTGTCACTTTCCATGTGCTGTTCTGTCTGGAATCCCTTTCTCCAAGTTCAACTACAAACTTCTTCAAATTCCAATTCAATTTTGCCTTCTGAGAAACCTACTCTGACCAAGCTACTTAAAACTTGCAACTGTCCCTCTGGGGAACTCCTTATAATCTCTTATATTCTCTTTCTTGCTCTACTGCACTTCCTAATCTTACATTCTTTAAAAAAACAATAATAAAAACTTATTCTTCCTCTTTCTCCACTAGACTTTAATTCAATGAAGATAAAAATTCTTATGTTTAATCCCTCATGCCTAGTACATCGTATGTGTCAGGCACTACATGTTTTGATATTATCTTAATCTTTGTATTGGTCCCAACAAGGTATTATTTCTACTTGTCAGAATGGCAAATTTGAGGCACAAACTTGCCTGAGACCTATCTAGATGGCAAGTAGAATGAAGACTGAAATGTACACTGCATCCAGAATCTCATTTATTTCTACATATGTAAACTTGCAATTAGGACAACTCCCCCTCAAACAGGGGCAGATTATAACTGTCACCCCAATATTCTACCCAGTTTACAGTCCATTTCACTAGGAAGTGTACCAACTTTTGGTCATAGAGTCAGAAGAAATTAGCCCATCAGCTTTTGGTCACTCAGGGTTGGAAAAAAGACACTAAGAAGAGATCAGGCTCCTGACCACAGTCTAGGGCCCTAAATAATCTAGTCTATGGTCATCTTCCCAATTTAAATCTTAGCATTTTGTTCTTGTTCATACTTGTTCCTAACACATGAGTATCTCTTTATATGTATTGCAGAAAGCATTAGAAAACCCATCACAGTTCCTGACTCTACCTCTCACCCAAGGATGCTAACTCATCCACTCCACTGAAATATGAAGCTCCTCAAAGCAGCTTTTCTCTGACCACCCAACCAAATTAAGCACTTCACTGCTGGGAGCTAGTGAGATGGCTCAGAGTAAAGGCACTTGCCACCAAGCTGGGTGGCCTGTGTTCAATCCTCAGAACCCACATGGTGGAACCAAAGAAACAATTCCCACAAGTTGTCTGTCCTCTCCACTTCACATGTGTGTACTATGACACCGGCACTGCCTTGTACCCATCCCCCAAGTGAATAAAATGTAAAAAAATTATTTTCCTAAAGGACCTCTCTGTTCCCTAACAACTCCATTTGTTTTCCTCTTAATTCATATAATAATTTGCTTTTTTTTGGGGGGGGGGTCTTTTTTGAGACAGGGTTTCCCTGTAGCCCCAGCTGGCCTGGAACTCCCTATGTAGAACAGGCTGGCCTTGAAATCACAGAGATCCGCCAGCCTCTGCCTCCGGAGTGCTGGGATTAAAGGCATGCATCACCACGGCCGGCCTTAATAATTTGCAATTTTTTTAATTGATTTATTATTTTTATTTTATGTATATGTGTGTATTGCCTGCATGTAGGTAAGTGCACCTGTGTCTTGCAATGCCTGAGGAGGTCAGAAGAGGCTACTGGATCCCCTGAGACTGGAGTTACGGACAGTTGTTAGCTGCCATGTGGGTGCTGGGATTCGAACCTGGGCCTTCTGCAAGAAGAACCAGTGTTCTTAACTGCTGCGCTATCTTTCCAGCCCCAATTTGCAATTTTTAAAAACTTTTTATTTTTATGTACATGATTGTTGCCTGCATGTATGTATGTTTACCATCTACATGCCTGATGTCCATGGGAGGTCAGAAGAGGGTGTCAGATCCTCTGGAACTAGAGTTATAGACAGTTGTGAGCCACCATGTGGGCACTGGGAATTGAACCTAGGTCTTCTGCAAGAGCAGCAAGTACTCTTAACCATTGAGCCATCCATCTCTCCAGTCCTAATTTGCTAATTTTTGGATGTTTGTCATTTATTGCTGGTACCCCACATGAGAATGTAAACTCGGCAAGAATAAGGATTATTCATGTCTATTTTGTCCCTGTTACAGCCTTAGTGGCAAGTTCAATGCCAGTACTGGCAATAAAACAGATACTCAAAAAATATTCGATGAATAACTGCAAAACAATTTTTAACTTGGTTGGCTGACCAGACTACAAATT